TTGTAGAGCTTTTTTAAAGTTTTTTGGGATGGTTAATATTGTAACCTCTTGCTGAGGACAAGTGCAATAACATGGACCATCTAACCACAGACCATACATTTAAACAACTTTTCCCCAAAAAGATAAAAAAGTTTATTCTAAAAATCATATACAATTCCTTTAGATTTAACTTTGTAAGTATGTCATACATGATGAATTTCTTAATTTTTGCTATAAATTAGACTTTTCTATGTGGGACATGTTTTGTCCCGACTCTCAAGAATCAGTGAAGTATAAGGGAACAATATGTAAAGTTTGGGGAATAAAGGGGTAACAACCAGGAGAATTAAAAAAATATTTATACTGTAAGTAACTAAGGGGAACTTATTCTACTATTATGATACAACAATCTTACATTTGGGAGCAATTTACTGAGAACACTGCGTACCTTTTTGTAATAATTGTGTACCAATACATACTGTATAGGCTTTTTTTTAAAATTACAGGGTACATATCTATGCATTTATACTTTTATTTATTTATTTTTTGATAGCAAAAGTGCAGATGTTTAAGTTGGGCTAACATGTTTCAAGGCAAGAAAAGCTAAGACTATTGCAATTTTTTTAAATACTGGGAAATATCTTGTTTCATGTAGTTACAGGGTAAGTGGTAGGCCTACTTGTATAATAAATAAAGGTTTCCGAGTCAGTGATAAGATTGTGTGTATGCATTTTTATTGTTACCCTGTAACTACATGGAACAAGAGGGTAACAACAACCACCACTTTAATTTACGGCCCGCAATGTCACACTTACCCTGTAACTACATCGAACAAGAGGGTAACAAGCACCACTTTAATTTACAGCCCGCAATGTCACATTTACCCTGTAACTACATCGAACAAGAGGGTAACAACAACCACCACTTTAATTTACGGCCCGCAATGTCACACTTACCCTGTAACTTCATCGAACAAGAGGGTAACAAGCACCACTTTAATTTACAGCCCGCAATGTCACATTTACCCTGTAACTACATCGAACAAGAGGGTAACAACAACCACCACTTTAATTTACGACCCGCAATGTCACACTCACTTACCCTGTAACTACATCGAACAAGGGGGTAACAAGCTACATGAAACAAGAGTATCTTTCCACAATATTTAAGCAAAAGTTGCAATAGTTTTCGTTTTCAGTGCACTTTTGTTAAAAAGATTACATTTTAAAAATTACAGGGTACATCTATGCATTTATAAAGCCTATACAGTATGTACTGATTCACCATTATTTCAAAAAGGTACGCAGTATATGTTCTTGCTAAATTGATCCCAAATGTAAGATTGTTATATCATAATAGTAGAATAAGTACCCCTTAGTTCTATAATACTTACAGTATAAATCATTTTTTAATTCTCCTGGTAGTTACCCCTTTATTCCCCAAACTTAAAATATTATTCCCTTATACTTATATTGTAAGTACATTATAGGTACTCTATAATTACCGAAGGTTACGCTGTAAAATTGCTTTAATTACGCAGTACTTTCCAGGCTGTAATCTAAAGCGTTACCAAAAAAAATGATAAGAAATAGTTTGCAATATCATGGTAAAGCTATGGTAAATGTTTTTTTATAAAGCTAAAATAACTGGAAGCGGATGACACCGGAAGTTTCGCACATTTACTTACAAATGGCCGTGCCCGTAGCCTATATGTTAAAAACAAAAGTGGATACATGTAGGAATGCGTATTATGTATGCTGAATTCGGAACCGCATTCTAGCATACTCCTATTCCTGCCATAGAAAGGTATTAATAGTATGATAGATTGCGGTTCCGAATTTAGCATTTAGTGTATTTCTTAATGATTACGTGTTTTGAACGGATTGAAGGACTGATTCCACACTAGCCCAGGACACACCAAGCCAACGGTCGGCCGACTAAGTTTTCACAGTGTGTTCCGTCGGCTGAAATGTAGTAGCACCTCAATGCAGTACACGAGATCCAGGGGGCGGAGTTGGATCCAGATCTAAGGGGTGGAGATGGGTAGGATTAGGGGTGGGGTTAGGGATCAGGGGGCGGAGATGGGTAGGTTTAGGTATATGTAAGGTGGGAGGAATGATTTCGTGTTCTGCAGTGAGGACCATCTCCTGAAATGTTGAATCGGCGTCGGGCCGTCGGTGAAAGAGGGAACTCTGATTGGCTGTTCAGCTTAGTGAACGAGTCAGTGCACGAGAATAATAGCAAAACAGCGAGCAAAGAAGTCAAAACAGTATAGATAGAAGGCTGTTCTAATGTTACGTAATCTTACCTGAGTGTTCCTTGGCGAATATTTCAATATTAATGAGTGGAATAAAGAAAGTTGTTGCAGGATTGATATTCAAAACGGTAAGCACGCACTGCTTGTTTATGGTTTGTTGTGTGTCTGCAGCGCGGTTTCCATTTTTTGAATGACGAATATAGATATATGAAAATATCTACAGAAATAGACAGTTGTCTCATTTACACGCAGGCGCAGAACGCGCAGTCATGCTGACAGTCGCCTGTCTCTCGGTGTGTTTAAGTGCAGCTTTTTCCCCGACGCAGGTGACGCGAGGCGACAACACAGTCGGCTCTCAACTGGCGTCCGGTTTGGTGTGTCCCGGGCACGATATTTTTTTCCACAGGATGGTAGGGAAGAACTCATGAATATTCATTAGGGAACTCATCCCTGATTGGTCTGATGACCTACCCCTACCCCCGCCCCTAAACCTACCCGTCACTGGGGGTCTGATGACCTACCCATAACCCCGCCCCTAAACCTACCCGTCACTGGGGTTAAGACCAATCAGGGATGAGTTCCCTAATGAATATTCATGAGTCTTCCCCTACCATCCTGGGAAAAAAAATATCGCGTCCCAGGCTAGTCAATAGCCGCGTTTCCACTGCCGGGCCAGGGCCGAGCCGTGCTAGTGCGTGCCAGAGCCAGTCGCGTTTCCACTGTCACTTCCGGGGCTTGATCGGGGCTTACTCGGGGCCAACGGCCAGGATTTCTGGCCCGTCGAATACCTTGGGCCAAAGCGGGCCAGCTCGGGCTAGAGGCGTGGTCAAGGTAAAAGGCGGAGTTTATCGGTGTTATGGAACGCTATGATCTGAAGCAAGATGCACATTTCATTTTTTTATATCGCGCAAAATAATCGCTGCTCGAAATAGTGAATCGCCTGTACTGGTCTGTCGAAGATACCAAAGCTCTTCTGAGCATTTGGGCAGACGTCAATTTGAGAGATGGTCCTCACTGCAGAACATGAAATCCACGGGGAGGAGTCGGATCCAGATCCAACTCCTCCCACCTTACATATACCTAAACCTACCCATCTCCGCCCCCTGATCCCTAAACCCACCCCTAATCCTACCCATCTCCACCCCTTGGATCTTGATCCGACTCCTCCCCGTGGATCTCATGTACTGCATTGAGGTGCTACTGCAATTTGACGGCGTGTGAAGAAACGAAGACGTTATAAAATACATCGATGCTGAACTTTCTAAGCTAAGCATTCAGCGAGCAACGCTTCAAGTTCAGGAAGAAAAAAAGTTGCGGCCGCAGTATTGTACAATGCGATTCAAACGCACAATGGACAAAGCGGAGCTCATAGAAGGAACTTTCCAAATTCCATGGTTCGACTTGATGGACGGTGTGCTGGGTCACCGTCCCTCTGTTAGTGGCGACTCGCGAGACAATCTGGACACTATTGCAGGCTGCAGCCATGGCCGGTGAGGTAATATACATGCTATCTTCCTAACTTAAAATAAAAATAAATAAATTCATAATACCCGCTGAAATGGGTTGGGTTGTATGACGTTTGATCCAGAAAGGCGTGTTAGGGGCGGGGTTTAGGGCAGCGCTGCGGGGCTACTGGCCCGGCAGTGGAAACGCAAGCCCGGTGCTTGAGGCCCGAGGCCACTGGCTCGGCTCGCTGTTAGCCCTGGCCCGGCAGTGGAAACGTGGCTATTGTTGCCAACTACTGGCGTAAAGATAGCCTGCGGGCGCACGCACACGCACACGCACACACACACACACAAATACAGGACTGAGAATTATTGTTATACAGGTTTCTAAACAGCATTCAATCCAGATCAAGTGGTGTAATCAGGTCAGGATTAAGCAGGTCTGATGTAGAAGGAACTGTGAAGCGTGCAGAGGACTTTCCCGAAAGGGTTCATGAAGGGGTCTCCAACCCTGACACATAGGCTACATAAACACATAAAAGACACACACGAGGTGTGTAAAAAAAGCCGGATGGCTAGCACATGTGGGTAAGTTTTATTTCACTTTGCAAGGAGCATTGGAAGTGCAGCAGATGTGTTCAGAAGCATGACTGTGTAAACATCTGAATGTTGAATTGCTTTATCGTTAAATCTATCCATACTCTTTGCAAACTAGAAATCAACCATCAAGTGCATGGAAAATGCACAAATGCATGGAAATAAATCAGTACTATAATCTGTGTCTGTAGCACTCAGTTATCAGAATAGGTATGTGCTCTGAAAATTAATTTAGTACTACAAGTAATCAGATATACAAGGTTTTCAAGAGGACAATGTGTAAACTTATTGGGGGAATATACAAATTGTCACAGTGCACTTAGGATTTCAACTTAAATTAAGTTCAGATAAATGGCGAAACCGTTTAAACCAGCCGTTTTAGCTGGAGAAATTAGAGTGCACATAGGAAAAAAGTTCAGTCATCACAGAGACCAACATTTGTCTAAAATGACTCGGATGAAAGGTATAAGCTACTAATTTTCATCTTGACTCATGACAAAATTAGGTATTATTGGTTGAAAATTGAACTGAAATTTTGAAAACAATTTCTGAATAGATATTCAAATGAAAAGAAAAAAAAACAAGACAGACAAGTTAGCTTTCTGTAGTATTTCTTATATTTGTATAGATTTATATATTACACATTTATTACTGACACAGAGCGTCATAAAGCAGAGAAACATGGTGGAAATATTTGTCAAAATTTACATTAGGTGAGAAAAAAAATGCCATTGAATGTGGACATAAAAAGAAAGAAATAAAAGACTTTTTTTTTTTTAAATGTTCAAAAATGACTGAAAATTGACGTGATGGCTGTAGAGGCAGCAAGAACCAGCTCGCTAACTACACAATTAGATCATATTCACTTGAAATCAATATTGTATTTGGATGCTACATTGACATTGACGTTCACCAGTTGATTTCTGCCTCTGTACTGACACCAACACCACATTCCATACTGAAAACAACTGAATTAAAATCACAAATATTTGTAAAAAATGTACACAAAGACAGTGAGAATTTTGAATATAAAATCTTTACGTTGTTACTTCACAAAACTGTTAGGCTGCTATCAAAGAGATAAAAAGTTCCTGGTGAAAACAAGACGTCAGTCTAAAGAACGTCATTGTTTTCAGATTCATGAAGATCCTTCATTGTTGGCATTTAGTGTTTAGTGTTTTTCATTTTAAGATACAAATGGTGTCTGCTATGACTGGGATTGGGGTAGCCCTTGGAGACGTGGTCCTCCACAGAAGACAAGGCAAATAGCCCTTGTATGGGGGACAGACCCCCTTAAAGCACTGTGAATGCTCACCACTGGCTTCCAGCTCAAATTGAGAAATAAAGACTAAATGAGAAAACTCTTGACGTTACTAAGATGATGGTGAACTGCTGTGGGACAAAACTAATGAAATATTTAGAGATAAAAGAGTTCAAATCAATGCGTGGCAGTGGGGAAACTCTGGGACACTGCCTGCATTTAATCTTCCCCGTAACTTCCATTGGCACATTGTGCTTTGATCTGTATTTGGCAAACTTGCTCAAAGCAATTTTAAGAAACTAATGTGTTCAGGTGATTATTAACAAAAGACACTCAAAAACAGACGTGATGGCACATTTGGTGAAAACATACCGTGTCCCTCCCTTCAAATTACATTTACCTAAAAATTTGGTAGTCTGTTGTTAATAAACTACACTGAAAAGTGTGCACGTTCATAATTCATCTTAATATGCTAATATTCAAAACATTTTGGTCTGTTTATCAACAAGGATTCCAAATACTCAGGTCAGTGTTTGTAATTAGAATAATCTCACAGTGAATTCTTTCGCTGGGTATTTTGGTATTATTTCTGCTCAGATTTCAAAATATTCCATCTATAAGGCTTGAGTTTACAGAAAACTTTTGGATGATGTCTATAACGGGAACAGCGCATGCTTTGCAGTGAACTATTTGAAGGACAAAGGCTAAAGTTTAGGCAGTGTTTTCCCTTCAATATCCCATTAGGAAGCATAAAGAACTGAACTGGCACTTCAAAAATGAAGGAAGAGGAAAACAAATGGGGAAAACATGTGTTCTTTTAGACTTAAACAAGCAATTTTTCCTGTACAATTATTTTAAGTAAAGAGGCACTGAGGTCAGTGTATATACGTTTCCTTTTGCTGTTAAGCAAGACACACAACTAACCAGTAGGTTCTCTTAACAATGTTAAAGTGAAAATGGCACTAAACTGTAAAAACAATCCATAAATGTCATTTTGAAAGCTTATACCTTCATTGCACATTCATAATAATAAACAAAACAACTGAAAGAAAAAAATAAAACTGAAAACAATAGAAATTAGGGGGAAACTATCTGAATTTAGCATACGAATGTGCAGTGCTCAGCTATGAAAAAGACCATGGCATTCTAGACAAGGTGTTCTTGTGAGCATGAAGTGATCTATTGCTGAGGCATTTTCTCCTGTCTCTCCTTTTTTCATTGTTTTTTCCCCTCCTTTTGTTCTCCTCATCGTCATTGTGACTGACTGACTGACATTGTGAATACAAATGGAGAAATGAATGCTCAACAAATATCCAGAAAGATTGTTAGTGCAGTGTTTTTTTGTCCTTTTCTGTTTAGATATGCTGTATGTTTATACACATATAATTCATATTACAAATTGTTAACTATACATATCAAAATAACATACACTACCGTTCTGACTTTATAAAAGTCTGAATAGATCAAAAAGTATTAAAGATTAATGATTTCATTCGCCAGTATCCTGACATTCCTCCTTCTTTCTTTTCTTTTTTTATTTTTCTTTGTACACAGTGTTTGATACTCAGTGCTACGTTAGCGTGTAGTATAAAAATCTCGAATCTCCAGAAAGGTGCTTCACTGGAACTGGATCGTTCAGAACGCAGAGAGGAAACAGAAGCATGAGAGGCTTTCACCCAGACAGCCCACTTTTTCCATCCCCTCTAACAATCCTGCATAAATATCATTGAGAACCAGTGACAGAATTAATGAATGAACAGAAATGAACCTCCAGATTCCCTGCATTTGAGAGCGGATCTCAGATCTCAGCAGTCAGCCATATAGCGGCCTGTCAATGTAAACAAACACATATTGACATTTTATCTCCATTTCAAAGACAAAGTTACCTTGAAAAGACGCTTGACTGAAAACTCTTGAGATATAAATGATTATAATAACATTATGATATCAAATCATAAAATCTTCTGGTGGTAGTGTATCTGGTGTTTTGGTGAAGTCCAAAATCATTCTTACCACTGGCGAATCTCTTCTTATTGAGGGAGAGCCGGTAACCGGAGCCAACTAGTTCCATATCTACACCAGACAGAGTGCTGCCCTCGCTGAAGAACTGAACAGCCAGGGTGGCAGGGATGGATGGACCATCAGACAGCTCAAACTTTGCCCTCAAAGAACCAGATCCTGACACATACATACACAGTGAGTCAACATTAAACTACTTTGTGCCAGAAGACTTTTTAATCTGTACAACATTACAACACAAAATTGCATTGTGGCAATCTAAAAACAGATTTTGACCATTTTCCAATTCATTTTCATTTTGCCTTTAAAACTCTTATATAAATTCCACAATTTATTTGCATGGGAAATGAGAAACAGCCCTGTAGTGCACTTTATTACAAGCTGAGTGTTTACTTTTGAGTCCATTGCAGGTTGTGCGCAACAAACTTCCTTATTCTGTAAAACTTTTGTATGCAATTTGTTAAATAAAGAGCCTTTTTTTTTTTTTTACTCGAGCAAAGATGAGCATTACCGATGTCCATCACATATGCAGGTTGATATCTAATTTTGTTTTCTTCTTCTCACTAACATTTAAATCAAATAAAACACCAACAATTAAAAGGACTAGCTAAGGTAGCTGATTAGCTTAAAAGTCCATAGATATCGCAGTCAGTTCGCACTGCCGTTAACACTTTCTCCGACAAGAGGATGCAACGTTGTTTGTTCATGTGATGTTTTATTTAAGTATAGAACAAGATTGCTTTGCACCTTAGTTTCGTAAATCTTTTTTTGGTTCGTTTTTTAAAGGAAGTTTTGAGTTTTAAAAGTTACATTATGTTTCTATTTTTATTTCAAATGATCATTGAAAATGTTATTTTAAATGATATAAGATGCACAAAGATGCTACTTTAACAATGATATGCAGCAGTAAATCAAAATCTTGGTTGACAGTGGTGTATTTATCTTACCTTCATTTTCAGACTTGACAGAGATGTCACTCAATTTCCATAATGTCTTACTCTGTTCCGCATTCCTAATTAAAACACAGTAACAATCAAATAGTTAAACTGAGCTGTGTAAGTGGCTCAGATTATGCAAACAATATCATTCAACAATTTGCGGTCAGTAAAAGTATTTTTTTAAAGAAATTACTACATTTGTTCAGCAAGGGTGCATTAAACTGATCAGAAGTGACAGTGACTTTTACATTGCTACAAAACATTTCCATTTCAAATAAATGCTGTTCTTTTGAACTTTGTATTATTCATAAAACAATCCTGAAAATAAAAATGTATCAGTTTCTGTAAAATGTAACATGAATAAATTACATTTAAAATATATTAAAATAGAAAACAATTATAGAAATTAATAATAATATTTTTTAATAATAATAATGTTTTTACTGTATTTTTGATCAAATAAATGCAGTCACGGTGAGCAAGAGAAACAAACCAACCCCAAACTTTTGAAAGGTAGTGTAAATTTGGTATACAATTTAATATTACAGTGATTGGGTCCATACTTCAGTGTTTATTTGTATCATAAAATATTGCGTGTTTGTTTGTATGTTTATGTGCCTACACCCTCCAACTCACCAGATGGCGTTGGGGAGTGACTGCATGTTGGTGACCCCGCCAGTGACAGGCACTAGCACCTGTAGGTTGGTGAGCGCAGCAGGGGGCTGCATGGCCTCTGGGTTGTATCGGTAGTCCACTCGCAGGTCTGTTGTAGTAGGGGCACATTTCCAGTACACCACGAGGTTCAGAGGCGTCGACTGAATCCCATTTGAACATGCCTGAGAAAGGAGGGCCAAAAGATCTTTGCTCACCACCTGAGGACAATGGCTTATCAATCTGATTTACACAACAATAATCAGGCGAACTAAATATCAACAGTACATATGCAAAATAGCTGCGCGATTAATCGTAAAAAGATTGTGATCTCGATTCAAACACCCACGTGACCTTATTTCTAAATGACGATTCGGGTCTGTCTATTAAACCTTTCACAAGTAGGATCACAGCAAACATTCAAATCTGTGTTCACGCTGCCGCTGACCCAGAGGCAGCAGTTGTTCATGTATTGGTATGAAACAGCTTCACAAACAGTCTTTTCTATTCTAATTCTCTGTTACAGTAACTCAAATTATCACATAAGTACTGGCATTAAAATGTATAGTTCGGATATAAACACTGATGTCTATGGTAGCGATCAAAATAGAGTAAACATCCTTTTTTTTATATACGCAAACAGTTACACCAGTAGGTGGCGACAAGTGACGGTTAAGAAATATACAGCATATGTCATTGAATCATTCATTCAAGAGATTTGTTTAAAAATGCTGATTTATCCAGTAATGAACCAAGTGGAGTCTTTATGAGTCAAGTCACCTTCATTTATAGCGCTTTTAACAATATAGATTGTTTCAAAGCAGCTTTACAGTGACAATAGGAAATTAAAGTAACAGAGATTGTTTTGGCTTTACAGCAGCTCTAGAATAAAGTTATTGTCCAGCTAAAGTTAGTTTTGATTGATTCACTTCCGTTGCAAAGATCATTAGTTATTAACTTAGGGGCCGCTTACACGACACCGTTCCAACAGAAAACCCTTAACGCGCTCCGGCCCGCACAACAAAAGTGCCTGGCGGCTTGAGAACGCAAACCCCGAAATAGGTTCCATGGTGCAAGCTTTAAAAACGCAAACCTGTGAAAACGCTGACGGCGTGCACATGCGTATTACGAGTTCAGTCTATAGGTATGCGCGTTTGAATATATATGTGTGCAGGCGTGTAGTTTTTACTTGTCTTAAATTAAAGTTAAAGTTACTTGTCTAACTAATATTAGCGTAGACGCCATTCTTCTCATGATGTAACAAGTACATCAGGATTTATGGGGAGTGTTCCCGGTTCCGGCTGACCTATGCAGCCTAACATTGAATTATAGAAGTTTATAATGCGTTATGTGTATGCTAGGTCAAAGAGAAGTGTTTTTAGTCTAGATTTAAACTGATAGACTGTGTCTGCTTCCCGGACAATGTTAGGAAGACTGTTCCAGAGTTTTGGTGCTAAATAGGAAAAGGATCTACCGCCTGCAGTCGATTTTGATATTCTAGGTATTATCAACTGGCCGGAATTTTGAGATCGCAGTAGACGTGAAGGACTATAATGCGTTAAGAGCTCGCTCAAGTACTGAGGAGCTAAACCATTTAGTGCTTTGTAAGTAATCAACAATATTTTTAAATTTATACGATGTTTATTTAGCTGTAGTTTATTTATTAAGCGTGCAGGGCAACCACCCATAATAGCTTTACAATAATCTAGCCTTGATGTCATGAACGCATGAACTAATTGTTCTGCATTTGTTAATGAGAGCATATGATGTAATTTAGATATATTTTGAAGATGGAAGAATGCGGTTCTAAAGATACTAGAAACGTGACTTTCAAATGAAAGATTGGTATCAAAGAGCACACCCAGGTTACTAACCGACGACAAAGATTTGACAGAGCAGCCATCAAGTGTTAGACAGTATTCTAGGTTATTACGTGAGGACATTTTTATTTCCCAATAATTAGAAGAAACACTGTTTTTTTTTCCAGAATTAAGTAGTAGAAAATTACTAGTCATCCAGTTTTTTATATCAGCGATGTATTTCGTTAATTTTGTAAATTGGTAAGTTTCGTTAGGTTTTGAAGAAATATACAGCTGAGTATCATCGGCATAACAGTGAAAGCTAATTTCATGTTCCCTAATGATATCTCCTAATGGTAGCATGTACAGAGTGAACAGCAACGGTCCTAGTACTGAGCCTTGTGGTACTCCATACTGAACTTGTGATCGATAAGACATCTCTTTATTTACTGCTACAAACTGATAACGGCCAGATAAGTATGATTTAAACCATGCTGATGCAATTCCACTAATGCCAAAATAATTTTCGAGTCTATTTAAAAGAATGTTGTGGTCAATAGTATCAAATGCAGCACTAAGAGTGAGTGAGTCGTTGAATCATTTATTCAAACCACTTTTTTAAATAACACAAATGAAATCGGTTTTAATTAGACTGCAGCAATTAACAATTTGTCAGAACCTCTAGTAAATTATATGTTATTTTGTTTAGTTGTCTATTCAGAATCGTGGGAGAATCGTGATTTCTATTTAAAAAATAAATAAATAATAATAATAGTGATTCTCAATTTATCCAGAATCGTGCAGCTCTAATATGCAATCATACTAGAAAAGCTAGTACTAACAAGCTTTACTCACGTGTTTCTTGAAGAATTCAAGGACTAACAGTACTATCCCAAAGGTAACAGAATGGAAAGCTATGAACCTGGTACTTTAGGATGTCCACGTTGTAATAGGATGCAGCAGGATTCTGCTCAGAGCTCTTCCTGAGGTACGCCGTCAATGCAGACATGTTCAGCCAAAAGTCCTTACTGTTTGTGTCACTCTGGGAGGAGTCACTGGAGTCACACACACACACATATAAAGAAAACAGTATTAGGAGCTCAATAATTCAATGCTGTGTGTCATTGGAGCAGCATGGAATAACTAACCCTAGTCCAGCAGCTCAACTATTAAATCACAAATCCCTCCTGATTTGAATAGTCATGCTTGGGAACTGCTGGAGCGAACTCCCACAACAAGAAAAAGGATGTGGGTGAGTGAGAGCAGGGTGAGTTTAGCCTGAGAAATTTAGCGATCATGATGCTACTATATGGAATCATGAATAAAGTAAGAAGGCTGTTACAAATATACAAAATGTTTTATCACTTTCTCATATACACATTGTTTTTTTATTTATTATTATTTTGGTAACAGTTTACAATAAGGTTTATAAGTTAACATTAGTTAACTAACATGAACCAACAATGAGCAATACATTTGTTACAGTATTTATTCATCTTTGTTAATGTTAGTCAATACAAATACAGCTGTTCATTGGTTGTTCATGTTAGTTCACAGTGCATTAACTAATATTAAAAAATACAACCTTTGATTTTAATTGCATATTATTAAATATTGAAATTAATATTAAGTACTAAGGGATAATGTACATCCAGCCGGTGGTTCTCTATAAATAAACCCCAACAGGGTGATGAGGACCCGACGCGAAGGTAATAAGTGTAATATTAATACTGTAATAAGTATCCCGCTTATTACACGGCGACTTGCCACATAAGTAAATAATTAGACACGAAATATTGATCTTAGTTGAAATATTTTATTAGGTCTTTAAATGCAAAGCTTTTGCGGAGAGCAGTTGCAGCGTGGCAAGTGGCAAATCTCAAATTATGGAGATAAGAGATATTGATTTCCGATTAAACTGTTTTAAAATCGTACCTGTTTGTATCTTATAATCCAACAGTGTAGAAAACAGTCACAATTTCACAAAATGGCAGCAGCGAGTCCATGATACTGGATGGCATAATTAAATAACTGTACACAAAATATTGATTCGACTGAGTTTTAATAGTTTATTAGCTCACCAAATCCAAAACTTCCAAGAAGAAAAAAAGTTCCTAGCAATGTGTAGCGCTGCTGACTTCAGTAACCCGGATGAGCCTGCGTTATCTGCTTTGAGAGGTTGTTATCTGGGAATAACATACCACTGGATGGCGCGATTGACAAATCAGAATCAAGTATTCCACAGTGCCGTGTAATACCTAAGATTAATAAATGCTGGAGATGTATTGCTCATTCTTAGTTCATGTTAACTAAGGTAGTTCACTAATGTTAACTAATGAACCTTATTGTAAAATGTTACCATTATTTTTATGAAAGAAGTCCATTATGCTCACCAAGACTGCATGCATTTGATCAGAAATACAATAAACAGCAATATTGTTCAATATAATTACAATTTAAAATAACTGGTTTCTGTTTGAATATACATTTTAATATGTTACTCCAGTCTTCAGTGTCACATGATCCTTCAGAGATTTTTCTAATATGCTGATTTTCTCATTATCAATGTTGAAAATAGTTGTGTTGCTAAATATTTTTGTGGGAACTGTGATGCATGTTTTATCACCATTCTTCTTTGATAAATAGAAAGTTCAAATGAACATCATTTATTTGAAATATAAATATTCTTTAATGCATCCTTGCTGAAATAAAGTTAAATTACTTTATTTGAAAAACTGCCTCAAAAACTCTTAACAGTAGTGTAACATTAGTAGAAACAAGTTAGTGTAAAGGCACACACTCACCTGTGCAGTAGTTGCTGGTTAGGCATAATTTGCTCTAATTTGCTAGTGTTTGAGAGTTTGAAGCTGAGTACAGCAGGAGACGGACAAGAGGTGAAAATCTTGATGATGCCGCTAGGGAAGGACAGGGTCATGTCTCCTGTGATCTTCACAATGCACCTAAAATCACATTTTTAAGAGATCCCACTCACAAAGAGCCACTGAAATATGTCAGAGCTTAGAATATCTAGACTAATGAACTAATGAATTATTTTAGAAAAATATAATTTTTCCATTAGGGACCGTTCGGTATTTATGGAAAGGGCCACCGGAGGAAAATAGGGGAGGGTCATGTCTTTTTATTCTTTGTTGAGGGGAGGGTCATCCAAGTCACCCAACTTTTGTATTCATGAAAACAGCAACATTTCAAAGTGGCTTGTTTGGTGCATATTTTTTCCATGTAGATCCATGTAGCTCTCTCGGTCTCGGCCCCCCATCGCTATCAGATGGGTCTGACCCAACAAAAATCCAGTTTGGCGCTGTTTGACAGTACGCGCTCATAAAAAGTGCATTAGAACAGAACGCCAATGAAAAGTTTACCCGGCAAAGCTTTAAAGCATGAGCAAATAATGAACTTTTGTGATTGCGAATAAGTGCAGTGTCCTGTGAGTGTTACTCTACCGCTGCATTAACATGTGATGTGAAAGTACGTCGAGTTTTACAGTATTGGGACTGAGGCGCCAGAACTGCAGCTGATATAATGTGCACTGTAGCACGATACTACCATATTTTAGTTTCCATTCTTATTGTGTTTCCACAACAATGTTAGTGAGTAAATCTACTGAAATCGCCACCATAACAGTGGAGTGTGATGTGTTAGACGTAGGGCTACCACATTTTTAAATTACTATTAATAGTATTATTTGAAGTTAACATAATAAAATACGTAGACCTACACCAAAAAAACTAGTTGAGGATAAATTCTTTAAAATTGGGCAATTCCAGCGTTATGGACGTGACATTTGCAGTCAAAACTTGAAATATAAATTATCAGAAAATGCATTTAATACTGAAACGTCTGTTTATATATTCATACTCCCTTAATGAAGGAGTCCAGACATTAGAAAAATATCAGTCTACACATTTATACATGTTTTATATTTAATATGAGGGAAATACACATGTGATGTGACAAAAAATCTTTAACTTTTAGGTGGCAAAATTTTTTTTTTTGCAATTCTATGAACTACGCTGCGCAAAACAAAAGTAATACTACCCACCGGATGAAGAAGGGTTGGCCTCCACATAACATAAAATATTATTTTTATTTTATTTTTCGTGTTCGCATTTATGAGGGAAAAAAAAGTTACGGACTGACAGCTCTCTGTTACGGACATGACCGCTCTGAAAGTGACTTTAAAACTTTCACAGAGACCTCAAACAGAAAGCACAAAGCCTTTCTTTAAAGTGAATTTCGTTTTTTATTAATTGTCTCTTAATTTTAATCAATGTTTCATCAACCAATTGCCTGGATTTAATAAATAAGAAGTAAATATAGTAGAAAATAGATCATCATGACACGGAGGCGCCGGTGCGTGAACTGGACTCGTCTAATAAATTAACCGAAACTCAGCGTAATAGGCTGTAGTAGGCTACTTGCCTCGCAGACCTGATAAATATATAGAAAGCTTGACATGTCTACTTTTTAACAGAACAATTCAAAACGAAAGAAAACAGACTACAGACTGCTCTCTGCTTATGCAATCCTAAATGTGCATTTCTCTCTGGCGCGTTCACTACTGCGAAGATCGCGAGTTAGCATCGTCACCTTTATCTTTGCAGCCGACACTGACAAAGACTTGTTTATTAATAAACAATTAAAATGTCTCCTTGCTATATTTGACATATTCATAATCATTACTTTTGCCGGTTCTTTGTGGCAGCTTTTAGATACTTTATTGGCAGCGCCACCCTTACATGTTACATGAACGCGTCACCACTGCATCAGCACCGAAAACATGATTTTTTTCAAATCAAAAATCGTGATATGAACCGAATTGTAGGTTTGGTCTATCGTTACAGCCCTAGTAAGATGAGAAAGCAGGAGTTTAGTCGTTTGTCATGGTTGTAAAAAAAACAATGGCTATCTGAACATCTTTGCCAAGCGCAAACCAGTACAGAAGTAATCAATAAATTATCGGGGAGGGTCATGCCTTTTTTCACAATCATTTTGGAGGGTCATAGAAAAAATTATTGCTGGCGAAGGGAGGGTCAAGTCTTTTTTGACTACAGATCTCAAATCTCCTCCGGTAGCCCCTTAAATAAAAAACGAACAGTCCCTTACTTTTTAATTCTATGATATTTCAAGGTTTTGTCGTGTGTATAGTATGTAAAGTCTGTGTGGTCTTAGCAGGGCAGATGACATGAAACTCACTTGCTGGGATCTGCTCCTTTGAAATACGCATTAACCGACTCAGTGAATGCTACAGCAATGGGCAATGCATCTTGGGAACCCAGTGTCACTGGACTGGGCCCACGAGATATCCCTATGAGGGAAAGGATCAGGAGAAAGATAGACAATAAAAAAACAGACATCCAAGTATGAATAAAAAATAATAAGAGGCGTTCTGAGGAATGTGTTTCAGTTAAGATCATTTAAACCTCTGCAGTGACAAACAATGACAGGTCAACAGGTAAAAGCCAAGGAAAAGACATCATCCGCACTATTTCTGCCATGCATCCTCATCAGACGCACAATAGTCAGTTTCACAATTAGAGATCATTCACATGGTGAGTCACAGAATGAGAGTAGTTATGGTTTAGCAGATGGGGCAATGCAATTGGTTGATCAAGGAGAGATGATCATTCTTGAGTCAGTTAGTAAGTTAGAACAAATGTTCTTCTGAGTTCTTTCCACTCTACCTGCCGGAGTTTCACATCTCTTCTCAAATGTGGGCAGTTTCCCCACAAAAAGATCGTCCTCTTAATTCAAAATGAAGAGGAGGAAACAGGGCGAAAAAAAAAAAACAGGGCGAGAACACAGTTCACCAGTGAAGAATGAGGATGGAATGATCTGGTGAGTGATGTGTTGACCATACGATGAAATACAATGTGTAGAATATTATTTGTGCATATTAGCTTTCCTTACACATGGACATGAATATAATATATAAAAAAAAACATTTTGAAAGATATCCTGTATCCTAATAACCATAAAGTATATGAATGATGACTTTATTGTTATAATAATGAAGTAATACATTTATTAAATGATAAATGATATGAAGTATTCATACATTTTGTAAGCCTGATGTGAATGTGGATGATGTGAAAAACGATTTAGTGTGTGCAGCTTGTGTTCACAGGAGTGTGTGAGACTCACCGACAGTAGGTGTGTTGCTGGTGCTCAGGGAGGTGTTGGAGCTGAGAGAGGAGGAGCTCTCGGCACGAGCCAGAGGAGCAGCGGGAGGAGGGCTAGAGTTGGACAGCTTATGAGGGCTGAACGGCCGGCCCTGCAGAAAACAACCAACTGATTAATAATTCACTGCATTCAGGGGGAATCAGGAAATATCTTCTTTACTCACAGCCTCATTGATGCCCGTCAGCTTGGCTGCTGGCAGTTTGGGCCGTGATAATGGTCTTGGAGGAGGGACTATGGCTGCTGTGCCCAGGGGAGTAGTCGGCCTGTTTGGAGGTGGTACTGTGCATGAAAAAAAGAAAAAGATGACAGATTTTAGAACCACAAGATGTACGAACAAAAGGGGTTTAAAATACGGAGACAGCACCCTCTGAGCGTGATTTAAAAATCACCAATGCCGAAAAACATTCAAAATGTGGCTATACTAGATTTGGCATTATACAGAAAACAAACTAACAGTCAAATCCAAAGATTACACCTGATGTTCAGTCGCATGCAATGGCCAATGTCACAATATAAACACATAAAAAAAATAAGAATAAGAAATTATAAGACCAGGTAAGGAAACTAAAAGAAACATGCACACTTTAAACCATCTTAGTCATTATGTTCTGATTTTAGAAAACATTGGATATGATATTTCTGACCAAGTTTGCGGACACATATTAATTTGAGTAATTGTACTGTTAATTTGTGTTGCTGAACTAAAATTATTTTGAAAAATAAAAAATAGAAGACAAAAATAGAAAAATACATAGAAAACAAAATGTATTAAATAAAATATACTGTATAAAACAAAACAAAATAAAATAAAACCAAACTTAGGTCCCACATTTATTTTTACTGTATCTAGCTAAACAGTAATAAAGACTATGATGGCTTATATGTGAAAAATTTGGTTACATTTGTATTATTCAAATAAATAAACACAGAAAACACAAAAATAAATACATTTTCACCAATCAAACAACAAAATTCAAATAAATCTAACTCTTACTGAAGAAAAAAAAGAAAGAAATCCAAACAATTACAATGAAATAAAATAAGTTGTAAAAACGTCAGGTTTGTTAAAATCTCAGTATATTTATCTCACTGTCATGTAGCCATGGGACAGTGTTGGAACATGCTTATGAAAACTCTCATTCCTCAATATTACCATCCTGCATGGATCGGGCTGGTGCTTCCTTTAGAGAGGGGGTGCTCTCCTCTTTCCCAATGCTGCCAAATGGGTCACAAGTCTCTCTGAAGAAAAGCTTAGGCTGTTGAGACACAGGCACTGACCGAGGTCTCGCTGGTTGATGGGATGGTCCACGACATGGCACAAAGGCATCATTGAAGGCAATCCATTGGCTCTGGGCCCAGGACGAAAGTGTGTCTGGACCAGCGATGGCAGCACTGAGAGGGGGCTTGTGGGTAGCGTAGTCCTTAGGAAGAGCTTGTAGGGCTGGAGGTACGCTCAGAGCTCGAGTCGGGCCAGGACGGAGGGGGGCAACAGCCTCGACGGGGAGAGAGGTGGAGGGAGGAAAGGGGAGAACAGGGAATGACGGGGTGCACGGCTTGGCGAGACTGGCAGGAGAAGGGAGTTTGGAGGGAACGGGCAAAGCAGGAGGCTCGGTAACATCAAGACTGATTGCTGAAGGAGAGGTGGGCTCCGACTGTAAATCCACTTCTGTTACACAGGGGTCATCAGAGAGAAAAGAGTAATGATGCTTGTAAAAATATACCATATACTGACAGGCATGCTGAAAAGACTACATGGAAAAAATATGAAAGAAACACAGATGACCTGGATATGTGTATATCCAGAGGAGGTGCTTTGTTCTCTTAATCTGAATGTGTAATACAGCTCTATATTTCACATAATTACATTAAGAAGGGGGGGGGGGGGGTGGGGGGGGCTTTTTTTTAAAATAATCAGTAAAAAAATTATATATATATATATAAATAATACAATTTAAATAGAGTAAAATATTATAACAATATAATTATAAAACAATAAAATGAATACATATAAAAATAATGAAAATATAAATATAATTTAAAAAATAATTTAAAGTAAAACATAATATTATAAGTGTACATTTTTTAAAAAAATACAACGGAACAATTATTATAAAATAATGTTCAAAATATTGTGGAATCCTACTGAAATATGTATTTAAAGATATTTTTAAACATACTGTAATGTGGTATTCCTAAGCAAATGATCAGCTAACCTTCATGCACTCGTTAGTCTTTACTAATACAAATACAAAAAATACATTAATAAATAAAATACTGACATAGACGAAGGGCAAAAAAGGTGTCAGTGTGTAAATTCTGTCATCATTTTACTCACTCTTATAACGTTCCCACCATGACTTTGTTTCACACGAGAGTAAGTAAATGATTATACTTTTTTTTTTTTTTGTAAACTATCCTTTAAGTACAATAAAGTGTGTCTCTGTCCTTATCTTCTGTGTGCAGAAAATGTAAAAAAACAAAAAAAACAAAACAAAAAAAAAACCTTATTTTCACAGATTCATCTCTAAGAAATATTAGGATCTTTAGCTGCGGGTTAGTTCAAGCAAAACATTCCTCTCATCATTCACATTTTTGCATATTTCTTTGCCATTAGGGTCAGTGTCTGTTATGGGAAAAGTTCTATTCTGACGATCAAACTGCAGGCATGGGTTATAAGCATTACCTGGGTCTTCAAAAACCTCATCATTTAACTGCAGTGGGGGAGATGTAGGGAAAGATGTTAAGAAGAGAGAAGCCAGGTCTAAGAAAAAGAGCATTAAACAAATACAAAGCAAGGATGAGAAAAAAAAGAAAGAAAAGAAGTCAATGTAAATGAGGCTCAGTTAAAACATATTAAGGCATGGAAAAAATAAAATACTCAAAAGCTAATCAAAAACACCTAAATAGCACACAGAATTTATAATAAAATGCAAGTGCAATACTTTACTACGTTACTAATATCCTCTTCACAGCTCTTTTTGTTCATTTGCCAGGTCAGATCTATAACAAGATCATGTTTGACAACGTCTGTGACACGGGGACTCTAAACTCCGCCCTCTGACCTCTCAAGGTGCCAATTAACTTTGGATTATGATTGGCCCTCGTGGATAAGGTCAGAGCTTGAATGACGGGTTGGATTTTTATAGTGACTGCATTGAGTGGCTTATCAGAGAGAAAAGCACTCACTTGTTTGCAAACAACGCCTTAATGTCAAACTAAAATGTACCCACAATATTTCTTCCAAAATAAAGTATTACAATAATATAAATAGTAAATAAAAACTCAAGTCTGAAATATTTCCAACAAAATAATTAAAATCAACAACAAAAAATAAATTTGCATACATTACATACATAAATTCTGTTAAAACTACTTTGCACCTCATTTTTGTTAACGTACATCTAAAAGATAATGTTTAAATTTGGTCAAAACCACATACTGTCAACTGCACTATTGCCCAAGATATAGAAGCTCCTAATTCCCAGATGTCAAAATAACATTTCATTTCAACAATCAAGGTCAAGAGCTTTCAGAGAGAGACAGAGATGAGGGTAGAGAGTGAGGAAACACTGACCGTACTCACGGAATACACACAGGAATCTTATTCATGGCTCAAGATCCAACGCATGTGTAAATCGTACATAAAAACCATTCTTATGTAAAACTGACATTTAATTCAATGGGAAATGTTATGTATGAATGGATTAACAGCATGGACGATTTACAAAGAATTCAATTTGTTTTGTGTTTCACAAATAAAGCCTAGGGTGTGTCAAATTATGTAGAAAAAAAGGGGAAGAATGAATAGACTACGCAAACAGCATTCCTCCGATAATAAGTCAAGAAATTCAATTATCAGCAAATAATTTAGATATTTTTTTTAATTCCTGTTATATATCAAAATGCAAAAAACAAAAGTGAACAAAAATAGACTAAACAAGCAAACAACAAAAAACACGTCTTTCCCATGGCATTCAAAAGATGTCATGCTAAAGCACAGGATAGATTGAGTGAGATATGAAGTCGCTGTGGGATATGAGGGTTTCCGTGACAACAGCAGCCTGAGCAAGCTCTCTAGAGGCGACTGTTGTGGACTGGAAAAGCCCAGACACTTTCCCCAGCCTGTAAGCATCATCAATAATAAAGGAGGTCAGACCTAAGACAAGCCTCCCAGAGACTGGGGGATGGAGGAGGTGTAGGGGGTGAATGACTTACGACTGTCTGCTTGTACAGTGTGTGTGTGTGTGTGTGGTCGATGAAGAACGCTTTGACTCCATCACTGCCAAGCTGAACTCTGCCATTGAGATTACTGTAGATGTTAACCAATACTTTACCGAAATGTGATTGTACTTTAATATACGTTACATGCCGTTTTGTGAAACTCTGAGGTATAAGGAAAAAGACCACTGGGATTTGGATTTATAAACGATGTCTAACAACAATAGTTCACTGATGTAGTAATGACATTAATACAGAGCTGTACCCAGAAGAGTGTGCATTTGCAGTATTACAACAGACGAGTATTACCTGACGAGAGGGGAAGAGACGAGCTGGAGCCGGTGCTGGTCGGGCCAAACGGATCCAAAGACAGCAGGTCATTACTGGCTAATCTACTGTTTGAAGGTAAAAAAAAAAAAAAAAAAAAAAACTTAGGAAGTTGTACAACATAGTGCATAAATGGTTACACTTTTGATAAAAAAAGGGAGAACAAATAAAGGTTAACAGCAGAATTTCTCTTACTCATTAAAGGATGGCTGTGGTATCTTGTGTCGTGTCAGTTCATCACCTGTCGACCAATGAGAAAACATGCAATTGAGTAACGGAGCAACTCTTCAGGCTTTATTTGTGATCTGCAGGTGGCCGGTTGCATAAACTGCTTTGACTAGTCTTAAAAGTTAGTCATCTAACTTTTTTTCTTCAAGACTGGTTTTAACTTCTAAAAATCAAGGTAGAATGGTCTAATTTGAATCGGAAAAGCAAGACTGATCTCCTCTCGTCTCACTGCTATTTGGTCAAACTAGTTCTTATAACAGTATTAACATAGTGGCTAAGTTTATGCAACTAGCAGCTGGAGCCTGTTGCAAGAAACCCCTAAAATTCAGTTTATAAATCCATCTACAATTATTATTTCTTAACTTAAGGGGTTCTTGGTACTGGGCACTGCTCATTAGGTCCCGATAAAAAAAATGCAGCTCATGTGTTTCATGAAGTAAATATGATGTTATCAAATGAAATACTAGATTGTTGCATGTAAAAAATAAAAAACCTACATGGAAGCCAGAAAACTACAATAGTCACTAATGTTTCTGACCATTAAGTGCCATGTTAGTAGAGGACTTTGCTACATGAGACACATGTCCATGCAACCCCATTTGTCACACCAAATACATACATTTAAAATCACAAGCTATAAATGATTGGCATAGTACATTTGAAATGGTATGTATTTGAGACCAAATACCAACGACATACAGTATTATACACAAAGGACAAATGACAGTGTTAAAAGACAACAGCATAAATTAGTAATGCTAATTTTTGTACAAATAATTAATTTTGTAATTTGCACATTTTGTTTTTCATTTTTATTAGCTCCACAGGAATCCCTCATTCCCACCAACACAAATGCAGCTGTGGACCAAAAGAGAGTGAGTACGCCGACTAAGATTCCGGGGGAATACTCACCTGTCTTTGGATTTACAGAAGGGAATGTGTGTTGTCGTGTCATTCCTAAAGTGAGTATGTTTGAGATCCACATTTACAATAACATTCAGTTCTGAATATTCTTCAGTTTATTCTATACGCCCATTTGTATGCCTGTTATATGCCTATTTGCCCACGTGCCACATATTACCGGTAAGTTTTAAACAGTAAAGAATATGAGACACACGTCAGGTTCTGGACTGATAGTAACACTGATCTGATCTATAATCGCTAAATTTGATATTTGATACCATATTGGATATTGGCCGATGGTACACTTTTTTTTTTAAAATTTTAACAGTATCAGATGAAATTGTATGTTTAACTGCGCACATTTACTTTACCTTTGCCGTAATCCAATGCTCAGTAAAGTTAATCTTTAAAAACACCTAATAATTTAATAACAATGTTAAATGGGTTCAAATGTTATGCCCTTTTATGAAGTCTTGATTTTGTGTTCAGGGTGTACTAGAATGATTTCATGCAACTCATTATTTTTCACATATTTACATTATTACAGTACCTCTCTCCCCAGTCTGGCTCGAACACGCCGATTTCTATAAAAACCCTCCTTCCAAAATACGAAATATTTACCGCTTGTTCGGGAAAAGGCCCGCCCCTCCATTACTGCGAGTTATTCTCTAGTGTAAATATTAAGGTTTTTTCAAACTTCCACTTCGAGCCCGATTCAGACCCTGACAATGTTAACGAACAAGAGGATTGTGCAGAATGGATTTCATGCACAGACTTTGCAAGCATGGATTTCACAGGACGTTTCAGAGTGGTATGTTTTTTTGTAATTTTCTTATACATTATAGATACGATGTTATCCACCATTTAATCGTGATATTTGTCGGAAAACTAAGATAATACAAACAGTAATCGATCACTAAGCCATGATTCATTTTCCTAAGGCGAGAGCTTAAGCAACAGAAAACAAACTGTTCTTCATAAAATGTGCAGCGCACAGATAAACTTTTGGGTTTTAATGTCCAGGAACAGTGTTTAAAATAAAAGTTTGTCAGCCCTAGGAAGGTCAAACAAATGAGTTTTGGAAACGTTGTGGGGAAAAAACAGCGTCTCTTCAACATAGCGACAACACTGTCTTCTCTAATGCAGCTCAGCCAGGCTTTGTCTCCTTTTTTGCGTATTCTGTGGGTGGAGATTATTTAAATGAGGAACATTATGACTTCATAAGATCCGGAAAAATTGCGCTGTAGTCCAAACGAGCCTTTCGCTGTAGTTCTTGAAAAGTGGATTCTGTCAAATATAAGCTTTGAAACCTTGCAGATCTTTTTCATGCTCAAACAGCAACATTACACACTAACTAAAGTTAAAAAAAAATTGGAAAAGCATAATAGGACCCCTTTAAATATAGTCTTTAGAAAATCTCAAAATGAATATACATTTTTAATAAATTATAATGTCATAATGCCTAAATTCACTTCACTTGTAGCATTTTAGTTCAATTTTTTTTTAAATTCTGTCCAACAACATTAAGCATAATTCGTGTTGAACACGAAATCAAATTGTAAATTGGATTTAAACAAGTTTCCCTTAACATATAGAGAAAGAATACTTATCATAATAGCATCTTAGTGTGATTTAAGATAAAACACAACACGAATTGGATTAAAGGACTTATCGGATAAAATTATCTGCCAGATTTGATCAATTTCAGCACGTACAGGAGGTTGTGGTAAATGCGCTCTTTGAAGAAATGTTTACCGTTTCAGTGCAAGAATAACAAAACGTTTCTACTGTGATCTCAATTACTATGTCTTAAGGATTTAAGGTATGCAAAACTTTCCTAGGAGGTTAAAATTGTCGCTCTTGATGTGAGAACATGCCGCAGTGTAAACACTACATTCTGGCATGCATCTGTGTTCGTTTAAGCAACAAATTACTGGAAAAATGTAAAATTATGATGGATAGAAAAACATAAACACACAATTAAGCAGTTAATCTTGCTCATGGCTTAAGGAGGCAACGCTGTGCTACTCAGATGAGGAAAAAATGGGAGAATATGTTTATTTTCTCATGGGATGAGTTGGCTTTGGAGGGGTCACCAGAGCAACATGAAGGAGGCTTGGCGAGAAACGTCATGGCCAAGAAAAACGAAAAAGAGAAGTCAAAATGACAGGCGCTCTCCAGAGCCAAACCTTCAGAGTGACATAGGGATGGAGGGAGGATGAAAAAAAAGGAATACTCACTGGACTGGTTCTTCTTCATATGAACCTGGAAATGAAAACAGGCTTTTATTAATGAGAGTGAGAGGAGTTATGAAAACAGCTGAAGACATGAAGTGCTTCATCCCCACATTCATTCAATGGATATTGGCCTCACAGGACGAAAAGCACACACACAAGTACGAGCAGAGAAACGGACTAGTGAGATTGCATATTCAAACCATCAGTTCAGAAACAATATTCTGCAGGCAGTCTAAACATGAGGAAATGAGTGGCAGATAATTCAACCAAATTCACTACCGGGATTGTTTTGAGGCTGAGAAATGTCAACAAGAGTCAGCTAGCAAAACGGCAATAAATGCACAAAGATGGGCTTGGTTTATTGTGTATTCAAAGTGACTCATATGAAGCATCTCTGAACGAGACCCTGTCAAAGTGGATGGAAAATAATTTCACTTGGTGTTCGATGAAAAGAAACACATCAGAAAAGCAACATATAGACCGTAAACGAAAGTAAATGATAAATTGTGAAGGAAAAACTTGTGGGAAAACACAAACAAATACACATGCATGCATAAGGAAAAGCGAAGGCATGGTTCAGTCCCATAGGCAGAGACTGGCAAATGGGTTAAATTACAGCACCCAGGCCACACACACCCGCCAATGAAACAGAGAGAGAGAGAGAGAGAGAGAGAGAGAGAGAGAGAGAGAGAGAGAGAGAGAGAGAGAGAGAGAGAGAGAGAGAGAGAGAGAGAGAGAGAGAGAGAGAGAGAGAGAGAGAGAGAGAGAGAGAGAGAGAGAGAGAGAGAGAGCACATGAAGGGAAAAGAGAGACAACAGAAGACTAGAGGAAATGGAAAGCTCAATAATACCAATAATCTACAACAGATGACATGGCATTCGTCATCACCTAGATTTCCTTACTTGACCAAAACTGCCATAAAACAGATCCGCCTGAAAATGAAACAGAGCCGCGAAAAGAAGAGAGACTGAGAAAGAAAGGAAACGCAAGTATGATATGAGACACAAAGACAAATGTTCAATATGAACATTGTGAGTGTAGTTTTTGAGATGTGTAAATATTTCAGAGGTTAATCTGAGTGATTACTGAGCACATTTGGAAGAAGACAGAAAGCTCAAGCCGGGTGAAATGAATGATGAAGAGCCTCCCTAAAAGATGTGTGTTAATCCATCTCAAACAGAGCAAACAGAGGCGGCAGTGAAGGTGTCTAAAGTAAACTGTGCTCACTGAAAACACAAGCTGGCACTTGTGAAGATGTGTTATTGCAGAGATACATCACTCTGTCATTTCAAAGCGTCACAAAGGGATGAAGAGCGAGGGATGCGGAGAGAGAATGTAAAACAAACACAAAAGGCGAGACTGAGAAGCAGAACAGATGAAATCTTGGGCATAAAGAGAACATCATAGTTACAAATTATGTAACTGATAACTACTTGTTTTTATTCTGTCCATGACATATCTAATATTTATCAAATCATAAACAACACAAATATACACTACCTTTTAAAATGGTAAGATTTTTAAATGTTTTTGAAAGAAGTCTATTATGCTCACCAAGGCTGCATTTATTTGTACAAAAATATAAACAGTAATTTTGTTAAACATTACTACAATTTAAAATAACTTTTTATAGATATATATTTTAATGTAAATTATTCCTGTGAGGCAAAGCTGAATTTTCAGCATCATTACTCCAGTCTTCAGTGTCACATGATCCTTCAGAAATCATTCTAATATGCTGATTTGCTGCTCAAGAAACATTTCTTATTATCACAGTTGAAAACATTTGTGCTGCTTAATATTTTGGTAAAAACTGTAAAAAAAAATAAAAATTAAAAAAAATTCCTTGCTGAATTTCGAGTTCAAAAGCATTTATGTGAAATAGAAATCTTTTGTAACATTAAATTGTCACTTTTGATCAATTAATGCATCCTTGCTGAATAAAAGTATTAATATCTTTCCAAAGAAAAGGAAGAAAGCTGAAAACATTTAATAAGAATCAGGGACATAATTATTTTTAACCAACTGGCTCTGAGCATGTCAAGGCATTGGCCAACTTTATTAACAAAACATCCTTTTGTTACAGGCACAACTCTTGCTTTCATGTGTCTGTGTGTGCGCGCGTTTACCTACGTGATCTTAATCATTAGAAACAGTCCCTCCATGCTTCCTGTGGTGAGATTTCAGGCAGGAAGTTGCATGGGTTTGTTTACCAACAGCACACACACACACATGGTCCACAGGCCTAACACACACACAGCTCACAGTCTGTGCAGGAGGAACTGCTTGACCACACAACTCTACATGCACAAAATGACAGAAAAGTAGGTCACCTTTGCACAAAGCAGTACATGTGTGATGTCACCCATTATGTCATGACGACCAACCCAGACTCAAACTACTTGAGATTTATTAAATGCTCATTCCCTCACTGGAAACGTTTAACGTCCGTTGGGCCTAAACAATATTGTTTTCAATGAGCCAGTTAAATCCTTATATTGACCACAGGTGCATAACAAACACACACACACACACACACACACAAAATAAAATTGCACTCAAGCACAAATCAGGATTGTAAAAAAAAATGTGTGAAAGCATTTGCAGTGTCTCTGATGACTGCCTGTAAATATCCTAATCAAACAGTGCCCTCTAGTGTCTGCTGGGAAAATGTAGGTTTTGTGGGAAGAGATGAAGACTGTAAATATCAACCAATCACAACTCTCTTTGCTGACGCTGTACAATCACCCTTTATAGAGGGAGACCAGCGTGCATTGTTCTGTGTATGAATGAATGTGAGTGAAAGGTCTGTCTATGAGGAGTATATGGTCATGGGATCTTTTCACAAGGTGTATGTTTCTTGTGTGATGCGTCTCTTACGGCAGGGGTGGGCGAGAGGGTGATGTTTCCAATAGAGGCCTTCAGCTCATCGATGGTGGCTTTTTGTTGGTGTGTGCCGTTGTTGGTCTGCACGGGTTTGATCTGGACGTGGAATTTTCTTGGCTCATCCTCATCTTCTGAGTCACTGGATGAATAAAAGGAGTTCTCTTTGGCATGTGATCAGAACTGTTAAGGAAAATGGTTCGCACGCAAAAAAAGTGTGGGGGCATGAAAACTCATCTATAGTATCTTGGGCTAGATGGTTAAAAATATCAGATTTTGTGTTTTATTTTTATTTATTTTTTTAACATGTATTCTAGTCCACACAGAGTGATTACGCAGCTTCGGTAAAGAAAACAGAAGAACGAAGAAAATCTGATGGGAAGGAATGACTTGGCAGCGATTCAGAAAAAAAAGTGCAACAAAGAAAAATATCACAGTATGTTCTCAAGCCAACAAAAAGTGTTCAGAGTTTACATTGAGTAGAGGCGATGAAAGAGATAAAGGAAAATGTTTCTGTGGCTGAGATGAAAGCGTGTGTGAGGGATGGGGGGGGGGGGGGTGGAAGAGATGGATCTGGAGTAAGGATATCATTCTCGTTGACTTCTGGTCGGATACAGAAGCCCTCCTCGTCCAGCTGAGGCACATTCTGCAGAAAAAACACACAACACACCACAGACAAAATCCTATTATTCACACTCTTCAATACATCACAACACAAGCAGAGTCCGACTGAGGTAAAACACACCATTGTTAGCAATATCACAAGAAGTATTTACACTGTGTTGTCTTTACTTAACATTGTAAGAATTATAGACAATCCTTCAACAACATTAGGTCACCACTCACGGCGCTATGAAGATCTATAGCACCGTAGAAACCCGGGGGAGCTCCGTTGGAAGCGTTCTGAAAGAAGGATGAACAAAAGAGGCTTTGTGGGTGCGACTCGCATGGAATTACTCCAAAATAACCAGAAAGAGCATACTTTGATGAGAAAATTTGTTTCATATTATGAAATTTCAGAAAAACACCTTTAGTTTGTATTAATTCAAACATTCAAAATACTGATTATTTTCTCCAATAATAAGAATAACATTAATAAGCCAATAAATTGAATGAATAATTATATATAAATAAGCATAAATATACTCACAACCGCTTCTACTTCAGCTGATTCACTATTCAAAACAGAGGGAAAAAAGTTGAATGAGATTGAATGAAATGCAAAATTACTATGCAAATATAACATTACAATTAGTCAAACACAATACCAACTGCTCCAAATTACAAAAATTATCAATACTAAAATACTCTTATCTTAACCTCTGTGTCTAATGATTAAATACATTTTTATCTTCCTCTATGTAAAATGTCTATTAAAATAAGTATCTCACAAAATAATATGAAGAATGGGAAGGTAGTTAAAAATAGTTTCATTATTTAAAAATTTAGTAAGAAATGTGTTAAAAAGTCAAATAATATTCAAAGCTTACGTGGAATCTGTGTCTTTATCTCTTCGTCGGCCTGGTATGGCAAAGGTTTTTCTTTTTCTGGGTTTGGCACCTAAACAGACACAGCAATGATTGTAACAAATCTAGACAAATATGGTTCCATCTGAAACAGATGTATATCGCCTTTAAAATAAAAAGCTAAAAAACTAAAAACTAAAATTCAGAGTGAATTATTATAAAGAGATTTAATTACAGATATTGAAGAATATATATATATATATATATATATATATATATATATATATATATATATATAACAAAGAAAAAATTGGAACAGAGACAAAAAAAATAAAAATCACACAGACCTTCTGTGGCGATTGAGACATTACATTCCTCAAATTCGATGGGCCCTGTAATGAAAACAGATAAACAAATACAAATAATTAAAGGGATGTTGTGTTACAGTATCTTGGATTCAAGAATTATGATATGTTGTAATTAAAATACATTTTAAAATAAAATACTTTTTTACAGTGTTACATAAAAACTTTGGTTACACTTTATTTTAAGGTGTCCATGCAATTACAGTGTAATTATACATTTAGTTACCGAGTAATTAATTAACATGTACTTACTATAAAAGGAATAGTGTTTGTTTGGTTTAGCTTTAGTTGCATGTAATTATGCATAATTTACAGTTATTACTACAGGACTGTAAAATAAGGTGTTGCCAAATCTTGTACTTAAGTCCTCAAAAAACAAAAACAACAAAAAAAGGCACAGTCACAGACACACATAGGTCAGATTCTCTGGTAAACAAATGTACATGAGTCATCAATGGGTCTTGTGGCAATCAGCACAATCTGACTTCCCTTTTAAGCCAGAGAATGTAGTTCACAGCCAGCATGCAACACACACTAACAGATGCACACTTCTGTTTTTAACCCCAGAAATCAAACAAATACACAAGTCCAATGCAATGATGTGCAGCACTGATATAGCACTAGTCAAATGCCGTATAATAATAATAATAATAATTCATTACATGTATATATCACTCAAAGTGCTTTACATAGAAGGGGGAATCTCCTCAACCACCACCAATATAGTCTCCGCTGAAAATTTGAATTAAAATAGCAGTGAAATGACACACAGACGGCTGCAAAAAACTGCACGCTTCATTTCTTGCTCATCAATTTTGCATATTTACCTCCAAGCTTTTACACTTTTAACGTGACCCATTTCCACACTGACACAAAGGGATGAAAGGATTTAAACAAACAAACTCTGCTTTACCATTTTCACTGTATTTGGCTGCTCAGGCTTTTGCAGTCATGACCTAACAATGTGTCAGCAAAGTTTCTACTTCAGAGTCAAGTCAAAATATGGAATAAAATGAAATCTAATTTTAATCTGATATCACCGTTACTAACCCCAGTTAGTTTGGCTATAGATTCTCAATAAATACCCTGAACAGCATATAAATATTAATTCTGTGCTTTCGTGACTGGGCGTAAAGAGAGGAGAGATGCCCCTCAGTGCTCTAAGAGCCCTTTAGAGCGGGTTTTCTTTTGTGTTAATGCGCGTAAAAGCTAATGCTTGTCCAAGAAAACGAAAGACAGAATTTTACTACTACCAGACCTCAGTAAGAGAGCCCGGGGTGCTATTTTCATTGCACAGAAAATGCCTTGACCTGAAAAAACAAAAGCGTGTGATATTTAACTCAAGCGGCTCAACAGAGTTTCCCCGGAGAACAGCGTCCGTGAGAGGACCTCATGCGCACCGTTCAGAGCAGTCACGACAGGCCCACATCACACACATCATACTGACGTAGATACAGTATGACTGATCTACTCCACTGCACCAGATCACTTCACTCTCTCATCTATCTCTAACTGTTTGTTTAAGATCATCTCTGAACACACTCTCAGTTCACACACATGAACACAAACACACACGAATAATGAAAGACCCACTCGAATTAAAATCACATTAAACTCTTAGAACCACACACACACAGACACAGACACACACTAACCTTATTGTCTTATAAATTGGGATATAGCAAAGAATATATTATAGTTAAATATAATAATTCTATACAATAAATAAACGCTAACCTTCAGAAAAAAAACAATTTATATCATTTATAGAATTAACAACAAACAAACAAAAACTATAACTACAACTGCAAAACAACTACAAAATAAAATGAAACTTAAGCAAAAGCGAAAAAAGCTAAACGAACAAAAAGGCAAAGCAAAAATAAAATAAAATCAGACCAAAAACAAGAAACAAAACAAAACCTTATTCGTTTGAGCACATTCCCAAAATGAGTCTTTATCAGATTTACTGAGTCTCCAAATAATGGCCAAATTAGAAAGACGCACCAAACTTTTTTCTCTCTCCATTCATTACAACAATCGGCAAGTTTGTCAAAACAGGTTTAGAAAACCGAACAATGAAGATTGATTTCTAAGATTTCCATGCAGCTGCAGGCCTGAGGAAAAAGTTTCATCTAATTAAGTGATGGCAATGGCGAGGAACGGTGCAAATGACAACACTACCAGGCTCCATCTAACAATATTTATGCACACAAATCCAAACATTAGACACAACAATACCATCTAAATCTGGAAAAAGGGCATTAGGTTTTGTTTAAATTCATGTAAACAGACAGACTGCTTGGTTTACATGAACGCATGTGTTTGTATGTATGCGTGTGTGGGTTTCTAGCAATACTTTGAGGAAAAACATTGCTGAAAAATGTTGACAGAAGTTAGCTAAATCTAACAAAAACGGTCCTTTGGGAATGTCCTCAAAAAAAAAAGGTTTACTAAAACTCTAAAAAATGTAGTCACGTCGGTTTTCGTTTAGTAATTTCTTTTAGTAATTACATATAGGTTTATTTTAAAAAAAAAAAACAGAAGTTTAAGGTATGTCCTTATTTGGATTGCTAGGTAAATGTGTGCTTTTGTGAGTGCTCATACACATGCGTGTTTGTATACGAGAGGCGCATGCAGTCATGCATTAATGGAGGATGTTTTTATAAAATTGCATATGTTGAGCTTGCAGCAAGGAGAGTTTGCGTGTCTGGCTGGCGGCCAGTTCACAGCCCAGTTGGATATTGCTGAACTGCTCTTGCAACCTCCCCACAGCCCAGCGTGTCACTTCGGGATTGTTTCCGTGGTACAAAGTTTGTTCAACCTCTCTCTCTCTATATACTGGTTAGGTCTGCTCTGATTTCATCAGCGTGCCACACAGGTTATTGCTCTGACAGCGGCGCAATCCCTAATGAACAGCTTGATACGGGGGAAGGAATGTTTTGTTGACCAAAACAGCTTTTAGTCTCAATTAATTCTTCTGTCAAAACAAATGGAGGGCAACCAAAAGCCTGAAAGTTTAGTCTAGACCCCTGGGGGTCACTATACATTCATACATGGTTTAATTGGTCTACCTGTGTATGGCATATTATATACATACACACACATAAAGTATCATTCAGAAGTTTGGGGACAGTATGTTTTTTATATACTTTAGGATTCATTAAACTGATTAAAAGTGACAAAAGACATGTACACTCACCGGCCACTTTATTAGGTACACCTGTCCAACTGCTCGTTAACACTTAATTTCTAAGCAGCCAATCACATGGTGGCAACTCAGTGCATTTAGGCATGTAGACATGGTCAAGACAATCTCCTGCAGTTCAAACCGAGCATCAGTATGGGGAAGAAAGGTGATTTGAGTGACTTTGAACGTGGCATGATTGTTGGTGCCAGAAGGGCTGGTCTGAGTATTTCAGAAACTGCTAATCTACTGGGATTTTCACGCACAACCATCTCTAGGGTTTACAGAGAATGGTCCGAAAAAGAAAAAACATCCAGTGAGCGGCAGTTCTGTGGGCGGAAATGCCTTGTTGATGCCAGAGGTCAGAGGAGAATGGCCAGACTGGTTCGAGCTGATAGAAGGGCAACAGTGACTGAAATAACCACTCGTTACAACCGAGGTATGCAGCAAAGCATTTGTGAAGCCACAACACGCACAACCTTGAGGCGGATGGGCTACAACAGCAGAAGACTCCACCGGGTACCACTCATCTCCACTACAAATAGGAAAAAGAGGCTACAATTTGCAAGAGCTCACCAAAATTGAACAGTTGAAGACTGGAAAAATGTTGCCTGGTCTGATGAGTCTCGATTTCTGTTGAGACATTCAGATGTTAGAGTCAGAATTTGGCGTAAACAGAATGAGAACATGGAACCATCATGCCTTGTTACCACTGTGCAGTCTGGTGGTGGTGGTGTAATGGTGTGGGGGATGTTTTCCTGGCACACTTTAGGCCCCTTAGTGCCAATTGGGCATCGTTTAAATGCCACGGCCTACCTGAGCATTGTTTCTGACCATGTCCATCCCTTTATGGCCACCATGTACCCATCCTCTGATGGCTACTTCCACCATGTCACAAAGCTCTAATCATTTCAAATTGGTTTCTTGAACATGACAATGAGTTCACTGTACTAAAATGGCCTCCACAGTCACCAGATCTCAACCCAATAGAGCATCTTTGGGATGTGGTGGAACGGGAGATTCGCATCATGGATGTGCAGCCGACAAATCTGCGGCAACTGTGTGATGCCATCATGTCAATATGGACCAAACTCCCTGAGGAATGCTTCCAGCACCTTGTTGAATCTATGCCACGAAGAATTGAGGCAGTTCTGAAGGCAAAAGGGGGTCCAACCCGTTACTAGCATGGGGTACCTAATAAAGTGGCCGGTGAGTGTATAATGATACAAAAGATTGCTATTTTAACATAAATGCTTTTGAAATAGAAAAAAATAAAGGTGTCACGGTTTCCACAAAAACACTATTTTTCTATTTAAAGATAAGAAATGATTCTTGAGCATCAAATCAATATATCAGAATGATTTCTGAAGGATCATGTAATACTGAAGACTGGAGTAATGATGCTGAAAATTCAGCAAATTTCAGGAATAAATTACACTTTAAAATATATTAAAATAGAAAACAAGTTTTTTTTTTAAATATTGTAAAATATTATTACAATTTAAAATAACTGCCAACCCCAAACTTTTGAATGGCAGTGTATGTGTTAATATATGTATTATTTGTAATTATTTATATAATCATTTTGGCCACTGATAATCTCATCTCATATAATAAATATAAGATGGTAAGAAAACAGGTTACCACAGCTAAAGTGTGTAATTTCTGTGCCACTGGCATCACCAATCAAGAAAAATGATTGTTTTCAAAATGGTTTCCCAAACACTCCCTGTATCTGCAACTGGATGAATAAAATGTATACCGGTAGTCCCGCCCCAAACAACACAGTAATGCTTTGAAACATCGCTGGGAGGGGAAAAAGTTGTCAAGCCATGTTAAAGGCAAAATCCAGCATCTAGTGTATACAACATTTATATTGTTAACATAATTGCTGGCTAAACCAGTGTAATTATGCTCCACCACGCCCCTTTAAGCTTTAAGCAAGATTATATTCTCTATGTGAAATGTGAAAAAACTTCCACCCTGTGAAAAGAGGGAGAAGCAGGAGGTCAAATGAAAGGTCATGAAGGGATAAGTGAGGAAAAATAGCAAGAGCACAGGGGGAAGTGTAGCCGTGTCAAGCTCTATCAATCTCAAGTGGCTTAATCTCGTGTAAAGGTGGGCGAGTTTGACATTCTACTTAGCATGTGACGCTAGTGTTAGCATGTGACAGCCAGCGCTGGCTGAGACCTGGGCTGAAAACCCCTGTAAGGGTCAGAGCTCCACAAATCCTTCAGTGTTGACTCCACTATTCTACAGCAATCAAGTCAAACATACTCTTAGTGTGTTTACAGTGCAGCCTAACGCTCATTTATAATCCCTAACCCCCCAAAAAATTGGTCAGATGGTAATGAACTTATGACCAGTCTTGTTAAAAATATCAAGAGCAAAGTAGTTTGGTGCCAGAGGTTAATGCTGTGTGTGTGATTTAGCTACATTACCTGGTCTCTCTTTGCCTGTTCCTTTGCTTTCTGCCAGTTTCTGTATGAGGCTCTCGACGGAAGTGTTCTCCATGTTGTTCACAAACTCTAGTTGCACCTTTACAATTAAAACAAAAATAGATGCATAAGATTACATGCCCTTCTTCACTACTTGCACTGCTTAACAGCTTAACAGAGAATTTGATAACCATACAACGCTAAATAAAAGTTTTGTAGTTGACATAGTAGGTATAAAAGTACTAATGCATGTGAAATTAACATTAACCGTATGTCAAAATATTGTTTATTTTTATTTTGTTCGAATTTGGATTTAAAAAAAAAGTTTTTTTTTGTTTTTAAATCAAAGCTTATTGTGACCACACATTTGTGTCTGAACAAAACAAAGATTGACATGATCCCAATAATGAAGAATGAAAGGGTTTCTCAAAAAATTATACAAGGATACAATTAAAAAGCCAAGAAAGACCAAAAATGCATCAGACTGTTAATGGAGGGCGACTCTACCAAGACTTTGTTCAGGAATGGCAGCATTTGCGTCTGAAGCCACTTGACCGGGCAAAATAGGTCATGGACTGCTTATTCCTCAGCGCAGACTCGATGTCATTTGATAGTATAATCATAGCATGAAGTGAACGCTAAATAACAAGGTATTTATGTTGCAAATCATACATACAAGCTAGTATGAAAATTTCAAAAGTGAACATCTCTGAACATAATATTGCCATAATATATGATTATTTAAACATATCATATTTATTTAAACAGCAAAATCCTGTTCCCTAGGCTCAATCAATTATTGGGCACCTTGTCTTACAATTGAACAAAAACACCACATTGATGATTTTTAGCAGTTATTTTAATAACAATGGCAACAGAAGAGCACATCTCTGAAACACTGAACAAAGGGGGCCTAGAAACCAGTGTAATGAGATCCAGTAAGGGCTTATGATCATAAACTACATAATGTGTTATGATAATAAACCTGGACTCTAATTGTTTTCACTCTCAGACAGTGCTTCATCACATTACCAGCGCTTGAGCCGTATCCCATGCAAGCAAGATCAGGGATCTGGAGGAGGAGAAGCTTGAGAGCTAGTGCACGCAATGAGGATGTGACATTATTTCCTCAGGTGACCACTTTCACTGTCTTTGTATTTATAGCCCTCGAGGGATGGTGACAAATGCAATGTCTCCACCACTGACTCAATGCTTTCCTTTTACAGTTGATGTATTCCACAGATTTTCTAGTTCATGTCATAAACATACAGAAATTCATACAAATGTTTGTCAATTTGATTTAGTATCCATCTCCTTGCCTGTTTGTGGACGAGAGGATCTGATTGACAGCATGTGTAGTTGTGCATATATTAAACCCTTTAGTTTAAGGAGGGGTGAAAGGAAAGTGATTCATGATGCTCGCTGTGAAGCAGAATCACCAAACCAACCAGCTCTGAAAAAGGGTTAATACATAACTAAAAATAAAACCATAAACAAATCTAAAATTTATTTTATTTCAGCTAATTGCCAAGGCAATATTTCCCAATTTCATTTAGTTTAATTTGATGTTCTATGTAAATGTATATAAATGTATAAAAACTTTATAGATATAGATATTTAAAAGAGAACTAACAAAAATTACAAACAAATTATTTTAAGGTCAAAATAAAAACGGAAAAATAAAGAATTAAAAATAATTTAAAAATATTTTATAATAAGGTTTAATTAGTTAACTATGTTAATTAACATGAACTAAGAATGAACAATACGTCTACAGCATTTATTAATCTTAGTTAATGTTACTTTCAACATTTACTAATACATATTTAAAAACAAAAATTGTATAAAAATAAATAAATATAAAATATTCAGATAGTATACAAATATATAAGTAGTGAGTGACCGACTTGATTAAGTTATGCATAGTGCTTCATGTGAGAGGGTGATGGGTCCATGGGTTGTGTAGTTCTTCACCAGGGTATTGTCAATTAAACACTTAATTGCTAAAATCACTGACTATTAACTATCTCATAACTAGTGAAGTGTTCAGTCTGTCTTAAAAGGTTTATGCACAATTTGATTAAAAAAATTGGGCCTTATCTCTTCTATCAAAGACACATGCCATTGTTCCATCTTTTGCTCTGTCATTTCACATCTAGAACCCTTTGTTATATTAAGTTCTTAAAACTCATGTACAGATGAACAGTGACACCTACTTTTGGATTAGTAAAATGTGCACTTGAAAGAGGATTTAATACATTTTTTATGCACACAGAGACAATATAACCATAATAACCACAGTGTAAAAAAAAACAAAAAAACTCAAATCTAATTTCTTTTCAGGCTCAAGCTGAATACAAGAGAGTGTGTGGTTAGGATGAAGCCCAAACCAGAGCATGCAATAGTTCTGTGGTCAATAACCAGTAAAATGCCTAACAGAGATTGTTTGCTGTGGGAGTGTAGGAATGAGATTGTGTGCATTCAGCATGGAAGTACATTTCAATGAATAACAGGGTATGCATATGTTATAAATCACTCTGAATCAGTGGCAATAGGATTGAGGATAGATAAGGAAAGATTGATCAGACAGCCTCATATTATGAAGTTCATTCATGCTTGTTTGACTTCTGCACGTCTACGGGTCTCTGACGCCCTCTACAGCTAAAAGATGATGCAACAGCCAGATCTCATAGGCCATCCAGTGTTCCCACACCTTTTCGCCATTGAATTTTCATAATCTTTTTCAGTTGCTTCATGACAACTAGTTAAGAATTTATAAAGACAATTTAAGTGACTCTAGATAACTAGAAAAATAGATTTTCTAGGACTTAAATAATAATAATAAAAAAAAAAAACAGGTTGTTAGCATCTTTGAAAAAAAAAATATATACTAATATATATATGTATGTGTGTGTGTGTGTGTGTGTGTGTGTGTGTGTGTGTGTGTGTGTGTGTGTGTGTGTGTGTGTGTGTGTGCTCTTGTTATTATTACATTGTGAGGACCAAATGTCCCCACAAGAATAGTAAAACGTAAAATCCCCTACATTGTGAGGACTAGCCAATGGTACCCACAAGGGAAATTGATTAATGAACATACTTGATGTTTTTTAGAAAATGTAAAAGAGCAGAAAGTTTTCTGTTATGGGTAGGTTTAGGGGTTAATGTAAGGGGACAGCATATACAGTTTGTACAGTATAAAAATCATTACGTCTATGGAGAGTCTATATCTTTCCACAAAGATAGTGGACCAGACATGTGTGTGTGTGTGTATTTTTGTAATAAAATAAATGAAAGGATAATTTCCTAGATTAAGAAAGTGTCTGGTAACGATGTAAATGAGTTCAGGCAACATCTTGAAATAACATTGCTGCCAGCAGTAATAATGTATGCATGTTTGTCTGCTCACCTCTCCGATCTGTATGTGCGTCTCTTCAACAGACTGAGAGTACGAATGGATAATCTCCTGCATACGCATGACATGTTCCTCTTCAATGCCCTGGAATTTCTGTAGACACACACACAACCTTTAAATAACTTTTTTCTGAAACAGTGCAAAAGCAGTTTAAAAATGGATAATACTGGATACTAGTTTTAGTCAGTCTCAAAATGTGAAGCTGAAAGCAGATGTTAAGAAAAGATACTTAATCAGACCAGAATATTTTCTATGAATAGCCTATCTGGGTGGTCTGAGAAGCTAAGAGTGTAACACGCACAAACACACTGAAAATGAATATGCATGCGTGCATGTGGGATGTGTGTGTGTCAAGGATGGCTGCATGCCTGATTTGCTGTTTATGCTCCTCTCAGACTGACAGTAGGGTTTTAGAAGATTTAAGGGGAAGAGGAGAAAAAGACGAGGAAATGAGCGGAAACAAGATAATGACAGCATAAGTCAGAGCATGTGTGACCACAGGGAAAAAACGTGTTTGTGCATGTGTGTGTGGATCATGTAAGGAAACATCAATAAAGAGCTTAAGCTTTGTATGTCTGAGGACTCTGTGGCTCTGATTTGGGAAATTAAGTGTGTATGTGCGGGATGGGTCAGGGGCTGCTACAGTGTTTCCTGACCGCGCTACTGAATTTAAAGCAAAAGACATTACATTGTACTCAAGTCGTGAGCTTGCAGTCTTCAGTATGATGAGGTAAAAAAAAAAAAAGATAGTGTACCACAAAATAATACAAGACAACAATTCAAATATAATAATCTTAATTAATTTTTTTTAACTATTATTTATTAATTCAATAAAAATAAATAAACTTTAAACTCTAAAATTAAATACAATATTAATATAATTTTGAAAAACATTTTTTAAATAAAACATTCAGTTAAAATTAATAATAATCTTAAATATAAATGTTACTAATTTAAAGTGAAACCATGAAATCAAAATTGATAATTCTTATTTTTGATGGAATATTGCCACATTTATTATAAATGATTTATCCATGAACATTTTTTTTTTTTAATTGATGTGCCCTTTTAATCTTTAATAATAATAAAAAAGTATATATTATTTGGATACACTAGGCTGCTAGTATAATAGTATGTGTGTGTTAATTCAGATCAAGCTGCTTAAAAACTTTAATAACACTAACTAACAAACAAACATTCCACACAATCTTACTTGTGCGGTTTCTGTCATTCTTTGCTCAAATTCTGTTTTCGCAGTGGCATACTTCTCCACATATGACTTGTAGGACTCAGTGGCTTTCTTGACCTTCAATCCAGCCTACAAACAAATAACACAAACCAGACAGAGAGAAATGTAAACATTCAGACATCTTCCAAACACCTTCCAGATTCCAAACTATTGGGCTGTCATTCATGCATGTACAAGTCTGTGTGTGTACCTTGTCCAGGTCTCTCTGTGTGGCCCCCTCTTTGCGCATACGTTCTTGCTCTAGCATCTTGTTGACGTAGTTCTCTTTGCTCTTCTGTAAGGCCTGTGACACAGTCTGGATGTTCTGCACAGCCTCCAGAGTGGACGCCACCTCCTCCTTTGTCTAGAAAGCCAGAGAAACCAGAAAAAACTTGAGTATTATACACATGTTTAAAAAAAAAGATTTTTTTTCACAGCCCTAAATGTCTTGCTTTTAGAATATAATACAATAATAATTTTAGCTATGAAATGGACATAGTTTTGAAGGTGCTAACACAATCAAAGACTCAGACACAAATGCATAAAGTTTAAAGAGTCAAACAAAAAACACGAGGAAAAAAGTAAATACTAAGAAGATCAGCCCAGTCGTCATGTTTTTTTTCTGTAACTGTGTAAGCTATTAAACACTGTTCCTCTGCACATGCACAAAAACCAGAAACCTGTTTTCCTTTCATAAAAAAAGACTCACAGTCATTCAAATAATAAATATAATAAAATAAGTAATAATAATTAATAAACTAATAATTCATATACACACATATATATATAAATTAATATTATGTAGAGACCATCCAATTTTTTTTTTGAGATAACAATAGTAATAGTTGACTAATTATTTCCATGAGAGGACAAGGAAGACATCCACAAACATTTCAGAGATATGAAGTTAATAGTGGAATATACAGGAGACCATTTTTATTTATTATTATTATTATGTAATTATATCCCCATTTCATATGATACTCCTCAGTCTGTTTTTAAAATGTGGATATGAGAGTGATATTCACCATAAAAACCCTTTAAAGTTTTATCTTACAGTGATAACCAGAACCAGACCTCTGACCTTTTTTAAGGAATGACATGTGTACCACAGACTCATCTAGCTGAGAATTTGGGTTCATATTTTGTTATGTAGCATGTTATGAGCAAAAACCTACATGGATATTAATCAAACACCAAAGCTGACGGCAGCTTCCATACCTTCTTATGATTTTTGGCTTGTTCCTCCACATATTTCTGGACTTCCTTGATGAGCTCTTGCAGTTTGCGGACCAGCTCCATGTGACACGCAGCCAGTTTCTCAGTGGACTGTTTAAACACATCCCACACCGGCGCAAACGTCCTGTGGAACAAATGGCCATTTCATTTTCTTCTCAGTGCATAATACTCAACACACTTTGTTCAAATAAAACATAAAAATGTGTTAAACATGATTTGTGATTTAACACCAAGGTCTGTTTATTCTCTCGATATCAGATTTATCCTCTGGTCCTGGTTGTTTTTAATGGAAACAGCTCTGTGCAAGGTTTAATGACACTATAATGTCGGCACTGACAATATGATATGTGTGTGTGTGTGTGTGTCTGGGGGGGGGGGGGGGGGGGGCTGCATCTAGCATATTTTGCTAATAGTTATTATACAAACTTTGGCTATTTTCATAATAGCAATAACAATGAGTTAATTGCTTTCTTCCTACAGATCTTTTTGAAGTAGCTTATGAAGTTTCGCTTGACTGGCAATATGTCTCCCATTAGCAGGGAAAGTACAGCAAGCTTGCCAGAATAAAGTTTATATAGAATAAAGATTCACAAATGTTCCAGGCAGGTAAGTGAACAGCTGTGGGTATTCATTTTCTTTCCTTGCAGGTAATGAACTTTGGCTTTCATGAATAAAGCCTGAGAGACATTGAAATGATGTGGGTTTTCCAGCTCATTATAAATACATTATTAAAATGGTGTTCATAATGAACCCACTGGTCCTGTAAACCTACACACACACACACACACACACACACACACACACACACACACACACACACACACACACACACACACACACACACACACACACACACACACACACACACACACACACACACACACACACACACACACACACACACACACACACACACACACACACACACACACGCACACACACGCACACACACGCACGCACACACACACACACACACACTTACCCTAGCTGAGAGCAGTTGCTGGCAGTCTTGGCCAGTTTGGTCATTGATCTTGAATACGTCTCCTCTATGGTGGCTCTGAGACAAGAATGGAGAAAACCATGTGTGAATAATCAATCAAATCCAAATAATGACAGGTTGTCACTGATTATTATGTTAACAAATGAGACCCTATTGTAAAGTGTTACCATTATTATTTAGAAAGATTTAAACCACACTTCTCAGTTTTCACTCGCACAAACATTTACATATACTTGCATACAATAGGTACCATAATTAATTATGCAAAATTAATTTGACAAAACTAAAAAGATATTTAGTTTTAAAAAAGCAGAAGAGCATGTGCTCAGCAAACAAGTGAACTCATTCAGCACTTAAAAAACACACACACAAAAAACCCATCTCAGGATGATGTTTGAGAGAAGCCCAGAGTGTGTTGGTCAGAACATAATTCCCATACATTCATTTGTGTCATTTCATGTCCTAGTTTGAATGTTTTAACTATTATTCCGAAATCTGAAAAACAGTAAATAAATAAATAAAGTGTAACTTTGTCCAAAACGTTGATTTGTAGTATATCCCTACAGACACTTGCCCAGATATTTTTGGAAATCTATGGCTATGGTCTTCTTTTTTCTTGTGTCAAAAGAGAAAGATTTATAATAGCAAATTAGTCTGGGTACTGTTTTACTCAGACAAAGACAATGTCACACTGTGTCCAGAAGAGGGAGACAGACACGCTCCATATTATGTGGCGTATAGAGGCGCATCCTCTCCCAATATCTATCAGCAGATTCAGCACAAAACTTTCAATTGCCTTAAAGAGCACTGGTATTATGAATCTGCAAAATTCTGTCAGTCATAGAGCTCATGAGACAGTTTTAACCTCTGCACATTTTGAATTTATCAGAGTGTGAATTCTTTCCATTAGTTTAACGCAGCTTTGACCGTTAAAGCAGGTGGGACGTGTGATGGATGCCGAGGCTTTTGGAGAACTTGCAGCATTCCTGAAAACCATTTGGGTGGTTTTGTGAGAAAAGTTTTAAAATAGTTTCCTCTTGAATAGCTTTACTCCCTTGGCACATGTCATGCTTGTGTAAGACAAGCAAGATTTCTAGCAGAGCTTCAGCCCTTTCACAGGTGAACCATCTGACAAAACTGTGCATGTTTTGGAACAAGAAGATCTAAGAAAGTATAAACAGATACTATTCAGTACTGTATTCAATACATTCAATATATTAAATTATGACTGTACACAATTTGTTCAGACAGTGTCATCAATATCCGGTATAAAATACACTAATCAGCATACGAATGACAGAGGCATTGGAAGAGAGTAAGAGTAACCAAAAATAAGTGCATGACAGCTATAGACACTACTGCACATTCAGTATGAAGATACATAATATGTCAGATCCCCGATTGCTACCAAAAAAAACCCACCTGACTTCAGGGGCATGGTCGAAGTTCAATCAAACTCAGGGTTACAGAAAAAGTTGAGTTGACAAAACCAAACCAAACCAATTCAACCAGGCTTTGTTGGTACTATGATGCTGATCATCAGCTTTCTCTGTCAACTCAGGCTTTAATCCTGAGTTTATGGAGCATGTGCACATGAAAGTGTCACATCAGTAGCGAACAGACAATCACATGCCTTGAAAGATGCAAAACTGCAATTCACTTCTCACGAGAAAATCAACAAGATTCATTTCTCTCTTCTGCCGAAGATTAAGAGACTCAAGAATATGAAGTACATAAAAGCATTTACACATTATTAGTGCAAGTGAAAGTTGTGAAGATAGTTTATATAGTAGATACTAATATATATATATATATATATATATATAATAAGGTATACAGAGACTTGAACATGTAAGTTCACATGTAGCCATTTTTAAAGCTTTATCTACTGATTCCAAATCTTATTTATATTATACATTCTCTGTATTTATATTCATTTAAACTAAATCCTTAATAATAATTGTTAAACTAAAATTGCTCATGTGTAATGGATTAGGGGTATAATAATTATATAAATAATAGCCTATATACATCATATAAAATAATTAATTTAAAAAAATCATTGCTATAGCCAGATCATTTTGTCTTTAAAGAGTGGCCTTTAATTTGGAGGAAGAAACTGGGGTGGTGGCTTTAATGTGTCACTTTGCTCACAGCTGATTGGTTCAATTTCAGTTTGAGATCTCTTCCCCGGAACATTACCTGCCCCGGAGCAGGTTAGCCGTGGAGCGTAAGTTACTTCGATAATGAACACCGAGAGAAAGCAGAGCCACATTCATGGTGTCTAAAACCCAGGGTTGGCACAAACTAAGCATACCTGGCTATCCACCTAAACCGGCTTCATGTTATAGGCCTCAGGTCTCACTGTTAAGACTGATGAGCATTTCTAAATATCACATTTTTATCAGATTTTAAACCACATACGTGTGATTTGGATCAGGTTAAATGTGGTTTCTGCAGTTAAAAAAAAAAACCTAATAATAAGATTATTTTTGCTTCTTATGTGAAGTGAGTATATGACAGATAAAACTAGTGGTGATTTCATAACAATTCACATACAGTGTTCATTTTAGTATTATTTATATATTAGTTTATTCATATTTTGAATTAATTTGATATTTTCAGTTTTCATGTATTTGTAATTTTTTTACCTTTTGGTATTGTAATATTTCTATTTAGCTATAATTTATTTATGTTGGTTTTAGTTTTAGTCATTTTAATACAACTATTTTATTTTAGTTAGTTGTCAAGGCAACATCTCTAATTTCAACATTTATATATTTTTTAAGTTTAGGCTTTTAATCTAACATTTTATTTGATTTAAACTTTATATCAATTAACGAAAACGATAACAACTGCTAACATAACATCAAGCATTTTTTAGAAAAGATGAATGTCTGAGTTATGACAGGCTGTAATGAATACAATGAAACATTAGACTTTGAGGTAACTCCCCTCATTCCCTCAAAAACAAACAAAAAACACAGTTTTACCTTTCTCTGATGAAGTCTGACAGCTCCTTGCTGGATATCTGGCCATGTTTCATGTTGTGGTACAGTACATCAAATCCATTGTTTTTATCACCCTGCCAAAAAGAACATAAATTCATTCAAAATCAACTGCATTAGATCAACATAACTATATTTTTTTCTCAAATAAAACAAAACAAAACAGAACAAAACAAGAAGCAATGTTGAGAAACAGAGCCAGACTGCATGTCATCACTGATGCTGGCATTTGTTTACCACTTTAGGTTTCTCAACAATCATTGCTGCCATGGTCTGAATGGCATCTAGCTGGCTTCTTAAAGCAGACTGGTCCACCATGTTCATCCGCAACATACTTTACGTATTCTTGCCCGTTCGAGAGAAAGTCAGTGCTGTAAGGTTGATCTGAACTGTGCAAAGGGTTTCATAGTAACCATGGTTACAATGCCGCTACAAGTGTCCAATATCAGAGTTTTAAAAATGCAAACGCTAAACTAATGCATAATTCAGATCTGAAGTGAGTCTGATCCCTCCTCTAATAATGTAATGACAGAAACACACACACACACACACACACACACACACACACACACACACACACACACACACACACACACACACACACACACACACACACACACACACACACACACACACACACACACACACACACGTGCACTCAGAATATCTGTTCTGAGTGACTATAAACTTATGTTTTATCTATCAACAGACATAATCATATGCTCTAATAGATCTAATACATCAGATTAATGAACCAACCCAAAACAAGCTAAACTGTAAGCTATTTTATTAGCATTTCTCAAAAGCCAACTGTGAAAACAGATATCTGGCACACCACGAGAGTTCAACCAGTGATTCAAGGAAAAGCACAAGAAGAAGAAAAATGTCATCTATTCATAACCATTGTAGTTATGCATTACAATTTAAAAGTTTGGGGTCAGGAAGATTTATTAAAATATTTTTGAAATACGTTTTTTATGCTCACCAAGGCAGCATTAAAAAATACAGTTAAACAGTAATATTGGCACATTATCATAATTTAAAATATATATATAAATGTTAAAATATAATAATGTTAATAAATACAACGTTTTCTACTTGAACGTATTTTTGCAATTTATTCCTGTGATGACAAAGCTGGATTTTCAGCATCATTACTCCAGTCTTCAGTGTCACATGATCCTTCAGAAATAATTTGCTGAATTGCTGTTCAAGAAACATTTCTTATACATGATCAATGTTGAAAATAGTTGCGCTGCTTAATATTTTTTGTGGAAACAGTCATTTTTCAGGCTTCTTTGATGAATAGAAAGTTCAAAAGAACAGTATTTAAGAACATTCAATCACTGTCACTCTTGATCATTTTACTGCATCTTACTGAATAAAAAAAAGTTGTAATTTCTTAAACATATTTATCTTACGGAACAGTGGTGTACCTCCACACACCAGTTTTCATTTTAAAAGCAGCTTGGTGGAGTATTTCAGAGAAGAATCTAGAAAAGCATGTTCGATTGATATAATCACCAACTATGCAAAAACACATCAACATGATTAATAAACAGAATAAACAGCTCTCATCTCAGGTTTATACTGTGTGTAACTTCCACATCAGCTTTTGTGGACACAGCAAATATCACGCAGTGTGTGTTTCCTGTGAGATTGTTCAATTGTGTGTTGAAAGAACAGCGACAGGAAAGCCAAGCGCTACAGAAGTGACCGAGGCGAGGAATGCAGTGAATGATATTGAAAAATACAATAGGAAAATAACAACAAACTCAGGAAAATGCTTTGGGCGTCTGCTCCTTGCATGCCAGTTTGTTCTGTGATTGGTCCAGACAGCTTATATGACTTTTTTTGTGCCTAATCTTTAAACGTAAGTCCAGTCATAAATTGTCGTCACACAAAATTTTGCTGTCACTTTGTTTTGTTCAGTTCCATCCTTTTCAATTGACTTTTTATATTTAACATGATGACACTACACTTAACTTGGGTTAAACTCTTTTTAAACCACGAGTAAAGGCTAGTTTTAAGCAACGTTTTACACTCGTGATGTGAAATGTAAACAGTAAAAATATGTGCCGAATGTTACAGCAAAATGTTTAGCAATAGACAACCAATCATAAACTGCTTCAAAGTCACAGAAAATGACATGCTGTGTTTAGTCTCTATTTTTCAAGTACAAATATAAGACCACATAACTATCAAATCTCACAGTAACTCACAATGCCATTGTCAAAACTATGCCTAACCTGCTATAAATCCTTGATATTCAGAGAAGTTCGATAAAGACCAGACATACAGTGGATGAGGAACAAAACATGTAGGTGGAAGTTGCTAAATTGAGCATTGGAAAATGCTTACTGACTCTAATGTGGTGTGTTGTGCCTTTGTGTATGTTTGTGTTTCTGTGAGGGTGTTAACTTTAAACCACAATCTGGCTCGGGACAAACCAAACAGAATTCATATTTTAAAGCCAAAACACACAAGACAAGACATGAAGGTACAAATGTGTGTGCTTGGATTGATTGAGACAACTGGTTTCATAAACTGGTTGAGGTTCCCAGTACAGAGATTACAAACACCTTGACTGCAAGCACTCTGCGTTTTTACCTGTATTTCATTGCATTTTTATTTTTTAATCAAATTGGTTGGCTTAGCAATTAGACTTTTCCTGCAGTTATTTTCATGCCTAAATGTGTTTGTTTAAATTTATTGTAAGAGCTACTGTTACTTTCATTGTTCATATTATTGCTCTATCATATTTTATCTTTAATTTAATAGCACAGTGAATATTTAGAGCTGCTCCATTTTCAGTGGATTTTTGGTTCTCAGAGTTATGTTGTATGCAGCCATGTTGATTCTTCACACATTCATCTTTAAATACAATAAGTATCAGCTGTGTGCAAAGTGAATCACATTTGGTTTTAAATTACTGAAAATTAGTAAAATTCAACAATTTGAACATGGAGTTGCTTTGAGACCCCCATATTTATAGATGGGACTGAACTATAGGGCCTTGAAAATGAAGATTTCAAAAGGAAAGTTTATCAAGAATGAGAATCTAGAACGATATTAAAGGGGTCATATAATGGTACATGCACTTTTACAAGTTGATTGTACTGAAATGTGTGTTGGCAGTGTCTGTACACAACCATCATAAAATGATAAAAATTCATCCAGTGTTTTTGTTTTAATCTCCTTATATGTTTTCCCCTGCCTCAAATCGAGCCGTTCGAGCCTGTGACGTCACAAGCTTGCACGCCCCTCCCACGATTGTTGATTGACAGCAGCGTTTCAACACAGACCCGCCCTCGCTCGTGAGCGAGCTGTCAATCATAGTCTGCGCGGACCGGCGCGGTCATTGTTGATATGCTGGAGCACTGTCCATGAGCAGAATGGCGTCTAAGCGATTGTGGTGTTCTGTTCTTGGGTGTAATAACGAACACAGCAGTCATTTTAATGTTCCTAAATCTGAACCGCTGAAGACGCAGTGGCTGAGTTTTGTTTTCGAAGGGAATATTCCCCACGAGCAACGTCAATGCTCTCATGTTTGCGCGAATCATTTCACACACCAGACTGCTTTATAAACGAGGAGGTATAAAGCTGGTTTTGCTAAGAAGCTGCTCATGATGAAAACAGGATCGGTACCATCTATTCGTGTTCCTGCAGCTGCTCCAGAAGAACTGAAGTGAGTGTAACGTTTTATTAAACTTTATATTAATATTTATATTAATCCTTGTAAATCGCTAGCTGCACGCTTCACAATGAATGCGTCTAAGGTTTACACTCAGGGTACATTACGGCATGTTTTCTATGTGCGACGTTCTCAATATAATGCATAATCCCACGTTTATACTGAACAACGTGTTATGGTTATTGTGTTATTGTGTTACAAACGGTGTACGCCAGAGCAGGTGTTACACCAGATTCTGTGACCATCATTATCTGTGACCGTAGAGGGCGTGGTTATCGCTGTGCTGCGTGATCTATGGAAACAGCGTAACTTCTAACTAGCAGAGCCTAACAGGACTTTGCGAAACGTTTGTTTAGAAATGCACACCATAAATTATTATTTGCATGCCCAGATTAAGCACAATGTGGTCGTTTTCTGAATGAGTAGCCTACTACGTGGGTTGTTCATTAAATATTCGCGCGAGAACGACCCTGGCTGGCGACCGTGCACGTTTAACAAGAGCGCGCTTTTAGGAAAGTTTTTTTTTCTCAAGTTTGTTTTGCAATTCAGAGTAATATTTATTTATCGAATAACCAACATAAGGCTAATACAATGACACTATATTGTTTTTTGTACATTATTACACAATAATTTCAATAATTCCACTCAGAATGGCTGTAAAGAAACTGTTTTAAAAGTGAATTAATTATTTTACCCACCTCTATTTCACCCAGAATGTGTAAATGAGCTTTTTTTTGTGATGTTTAATCAAACATAACTTGCCACGAAGAAGCATCGGTTCCCGCTGAACTCTTCTGTTACCCTCCTCTATTTCACTCATAATGAATGTGACACACTCCAAATTCACTCTGATGATGTGTGAACTCTTCAGCTTCTTACTGAGTGAATTTGGAGTGTGTCACATTCATTATAAGTGAAATAGAGGAGGGTAACAGAATTCGGTGACCATTAAAATAGCCTTATCATATTTGGTGACCCTACTGTATGTCTGCGACATACAATTCGGTGACCTTTACAACTTGTTACAGCAATTTTGAGTGATTTTTTTGTATTATTATTCTGTGCATTAATATAATAACTTACACAAAAATAATCTTTTTGTGCCATACATGTCTTTCATTGACTACTGGTTCCACAAATTAAATATATATCCTAATAAATAATATCCAATATAACATATATTATTCTGAATAGCAAAACACACTGAGAAAAAAACTTTTCCTAAACGTGCACGGACGTCAGGGCCGTTCTCTTCTCGCGTGAGAACATAAACATTAATGAACACGGAAACACACGTAGTCGGCTACTCTGAAAAAAAGAAAAACACATTGAGCTCAATCTGGGCAAGCAAATAATAATTTATTGTGTAAATAACCATCATTT